AGACTGTACAACCAAAAGGAAAGAAAAAAAAAAGAAACAGAAAACAGAGAGCAGATAATAGGGCTGAAACTATGGAAAAACAAGTAGGCCTACATGAACTAGCATATGAACAAGAACTATTAGAAATGAAAGCTATAACAGACACAAATGAACCAAAATTAGAAGTGAACAGACAGAATTTAAAGCAGAACTTGAAGAAGTAAATATTGGCAACCTTTGGAATGAAGAACAGAGTAACATAGTCCAGGAAGAATTGAAACCCAAGGATAAAACAGAGGTTGAACTTAATAATGATTTAAAGGTGACAGATACATTAGAATGTCTTAAGATTGACTCTTTGTTGACTCAAACGCAGGTACACGAGAATATTATTGAAAGTTGTATCGTAAGTCTATCAGAGAATGGCAGTCAACAAGAAACAAGTCCATCAGTGAATGGTAGTCAAAATGATTTAATAAGCCCATCAGTGAATGGCAGTGATGATTTAATAAGTCCATCGGAGAATGGCAGGAATCATGATAAACTAATGATGATTAATGAATCAGTGAACTTAATAAGCCACAATGATGAGAACGTACCTATTGAGAAGTTACTTAGAAATCTGGAGTCAAACTATAAAGAAGATATACTAGAACTCAAGAATAAATTTAACAAAGAAATGGAGAAATTAACACATAAATTTATGTGTGAACTAGAATCAATAAAGAAGCACAAGGAAGTTAAGAAAGATGAAACAGTAACTAGAAACTACAATGTCATTAATGCACAGAATGAAAGTAAAAGAAATTTAGCAAACTATGAATACAGTCAACATGTTAATAAGAATGTCATTAATGTCATTAATGCACAGAATGAAAGAAAAAGAAATTTAGCAAACTATGAATACAGTCACCATGTTTATAAGAAGCCAAAATCTAGATGTTTTTACTGCGGAAAAACAGGTCATTACCAAAATCAATGTTGGCATAGGTTGGCAAATCAGAGAAGAAACAATTATGTACACAGAAAGTCATGTGAGAAATACAGTAATTTAAGGAATAATGTATCAAGTTCAAATCAGAATAACAAAAGTGTGAATAGGTATACTAATGGAAGTTACCGACGCAACACATATTATGAGAGGCCAAAGCAATGCCATAATATTTATATTGAGTTGGTTGATGAACCAAACGAACGTACACAAAGCAAGATAACTACTGACGTTGTTCAGAAACCAGAGGAGAATATTAAAACTAATGAAGTAACACAAGTTACACGAAATCTAGGAAATGATTATGGTAGCACAGCTAAAAGCTACAATTTGAGGGAGAAATGGCATACAGGTCATCGTCAACTGCACGAGAACGATTACTCATGCTATAGAGGATGCTAAGATTAAATTATCAATTGACAGTTTATTAATATTATACAGTCTGTAACTGTAATATATAAATATCAAATAATGTGTTTGAGTAAACATAAATTGTGTACTATATCTAAAGAATATAAACTGTATTATGTTAAACCTATTCTATACTATTAATTAACAGGGAATAATGTATAAAGTAAAAGTTAGAGACTATTTATTCCGCATAACAATAAGACGGAAGTCTCAATGATGAATTGTGTATTAGTCATACCTGTGAAAGGCAGGAATGTGGTTGTGTTGTGACCTAGATATGACTGAAATGGGTCAAATAGGGGAGACAACAAAGTATATTACTCATGCGTGGTAATAACATACCTTGATGATAAGGAAGTTTTTTTTTACCACATAGGATATAGTTATTTAAATTATGAGTTGAATTAAGTCTTTGATAATTTCAACTATGTATTATGTTTTGGTAATTAAGTCATGTACCAGACTGGTTTGGTAATTTATTACACTCATTTGTCTTGTTTATACTACAGTTACTGGGTAATTGAAATGTTTTTTTTTTCTCCTATGTGAATGTATATTGATGCATTAAATATTACATATAATGCTTGTACATTTAAAGTTTTTGTTCAAAACACTGACATATTTTAATTATCACTGATATAGTCACTACATACTGTTGTATTTGTATGCACTATAAATTTATGACTACAAGTGCTTAGTCTAAAATGAATATATTTTACTCTACTTTGAATTGTACACAATTTTTTGTTGTCTGGCACATGATCCTGCCCTACTAATATTGTATTTATAAATTTTGTTACACAAAATTTTATTCGAAGGGGGGGCGTGTCACAGACTGTATTATTATGTATCTTTATTATATTGTGTTTTGCATGAATGAAGAGTACCTGGCTAGCGGAAGGACTGTCTGAGCGATCGTCATGTGTTTTTTCATGTTTTTGGGTGAGATCGCTCATGTACGTAAGGGGAGAGAATGGACCGTATAAAAGGGAGAGCAAAAGGTGAACGGGTGTTGTGTGCTAGGACTTGGGACTTGAACTGTGGCAGTGAATGTAAGATGTCTCCATGACTTGGAGTCGTGACTGTGACTGTACTTGTTGAGTATCTTCTAATATGGATTTACCATGAATAACTATGGATTTATCATTCTCACTGTATATAGTGTAAATAAAGTCATCATTTGAAGTTGCCACTATTGCTTGTATTCCTGTGTGAAAACTAACCCACAACAACAAAGAATACATGTTGTTACATAATCGTTTTGTTTTTATAGACGTTCATTTATCTCCGACATTTATGTGTGGAAACAATGAAATCATGTTTCTTCAATATCTGTACACACAAAAAATGTGTATAGAAAATGTACGCAAAAAAATATGTTAGGTCCTCAACAAAAGACTGCCTGTGTCATGGGAATGAAAGACCAATATCAGAGAACAGAAGAACATGATGAGTACGAAACATAGTAGCTTAACAATTGTCTAATACTATACATGCCTAGAAAAAAATCGCAACAAGTTAATTTAGAAAAAAACTTTTTTTTTCTTGGACTACTTTTTTTTATTGTTTTTTTTTTCTTTTCTTTACATGTATTGGTCTACATGTAAAAAAAAAAACGTCCAAAAAACATAACATCATTTATGGATGACCCCCTAAGGAAGATGCTATAAAAAAATTGTATCCCTTATAGCTATTACGGTTTCTCTTATTAAGGTAACGGTTTCAGACATTTGTCTCCCGTCCCCCTCCCCTTCCCCAACCTCTGCGTGTGGGCATTTAATTTAATTGAACGGTTGAGTGGGAGGGGGGGGTCAAAAGAATGATTACTAGATTACTAAATTATTACTAAATCTTTCAACCAAAAAATTTAGTTTTAAGTAGTATAAAATTAAATAGTCTATTCATAAATCTGGGCCTAGGCAGTGGCGTAGCCAGGATCGTCTCATGGGGGTCGTCCATAAATGACGTCACGCTATTTTTTGACGATTTTTACCTCCCCCCTCCCCTCCGTCACACGTAGTCACAAAAAGCCAGACCCCCCCCCCCCAAAAAAAAATGACGTCACACCTCAGCCTACAACCCCCCCTCAAAATTGCAGTTGAATTTTTTTTTTTAAACACCGATATTTTTTCTAAAATCTTGTCTGAACTCAGTCAAAATAGAGTATTTTAATCAATTCCTATTACAATTTATTAAAACAGTTATCTAAAACGCGAAATAAAAAATTCTAAAATTCGTTTTCTAACATTTCTTTTTTATAACGCAAAAGTGTGACGTCGCACCATCTGACCCCCCCCTCCCCCTCATCACACACCGTCACAAAATTACGGTCCCCCTCCCCCCTACGAGTGTGACGTCATTTATGGACGACCCCATATATACTAGCTGTATGTCATTGCTTCGCTATGATGAAAAATAAATTGAAAGTAGTACTCTGGAGTCATAAGAAAAAGCACACAATGTAGGCCGACAAAACAAAAAAGTCGCTTGTCGTAATTAATATTTCAGGAATCTTTATGTCAAATATTTTTTACAAGGATTACGAAACAGATTGTATTGCGTTCATTGTTTTTTTTTTATTTGTATTGTGTAGTTATTTTTTTGTGGTATTATGACAATATAATAATTATTTTTTTTTACATGAGGGGTTGCAACCCCCCCCCCCCCCATCCTACCCCATTGGTTTCAGTGTTTCTTCCAGACTTTTTTCTCCGGGGGGGCACTTGAAATCTTCGGGGGGGCGGTAAAGTTTCTTCGGGGGGGCGGACACTGTTAAAAGTATATATTTTCTATATAAATTATATAAATTTCATTTCGTTCGGGGGGGCGGTAAAAAATTTTCGGGGGGGCTTCGCCCCCCCGAAGAGATGCCTGGAAGAAACTCTGATTGGTTTAGGCAGGGGCTTAGCAAGGAAGTGGCGGGGTGCGGACCGCACCTGGTGACACCATTTAGGGGGGGGGGGGGTGACACCAAGGCAAAAAATAGCAAAATATAGAAAAACTTGAGGGGGGGTGCAAATCGAAATTTTGAGGGGGGGGGGTGTGGGGGGGCAAATCGAAAACTTGAGGGGGTGCAAATCGAAGTTTGAAGGGGGGGTGCAAATCGAAAACTTGAGGGGGTGCAAATCGAAAAATTGAAAGTTTGTCCCCGGGAAGGGTCGCTATACGCCTCTGAGGAGGGTGACACCATTAAAAAGCCTAAGCTAAAATGTCTTTTAAAAGCCCTTATAATTTATAACTTTCGTGCATTTTCACATTTTAATTTTAAAACTTTTAAGCTCGATTTCAAAATTCCAAAATTTAAAAATATGCCCAGATGTTTACATTAGAAACACAAAAGCACTTTATTCCATAAACTAAATGTAACTAGATCTAGATCTAGATTCTAGATCCTAGATCTAAATTTGTTATTTTGTTGGCATAAATAAGAAAGTTGATGCTTTTCCTTTATGAAAACAAGATGAATATTCAACTACTTTTAACTTTTAGATTATGCGTTTTACGTTTAGGATAATTGAATCGCAAATCATTTGTGCATAACAGTTAGACTTTTTAATTAATGCTATTTTTGTTTTGTAAATAGTGTATTACTAAGATAGAGTCACACCTTTACAAAAGAAGAACATTATTATAAACTATATAAACATCCGATACGTAAACAACGTAAACTAGGGGCTTTATCATCTCGTAAGTATTCATTCATTATTTACGTTTTAGCCAACGTTAATCTGTAAATGACTACATTAGAATTTAGATAATTTATTATTTAACAACTCAGCCTTTTTTATCACTGAATTCACTGGCTTTTCACTCATTTTCTGTTCTGCTGCTCACTGCCAGTGAAAAGTTTTCAAAATCAGTGAGTCCAGTTAACAGTTGAGTGTGTGGTGTCACCACTGTGACTTGTGAGTCAGTGAGTGACACTTATTACGCTGACACTGGGCACTGGGTGACGCAGTTACACTGGCGTGAGAGTACAGAACTACAGTAACTTGAGTAACAGTACTGAGTACTAGTACTACTACTACTACTAGAATCTAGAATAATCTAGATTCTAGATCTACTAACAGTAAAAGTAATATAATATAAATCGGTAAAACTCCATTTAAGCGTATTTTATTCGCCGCTTCACATTCACCTCTGGTTGAGCGTATTTTATTATCAACACAACCAAAGCACACAAACATGTTAGAAAAACACTAGGATTAGAGCTAGATATTAGTAGATATACTTTTTAGCGCAATTTCCATACTGGCAATTGCGTTTAATAATGCGTCATTTCTGGATGGATGGATGGATGTGTGTCCGCAGCTTTGTCATATCTCCTCCTCAATGAAGCAATATCGAGGACTAGTTCCAAAGCAAATATGTTAAGCAAGTTCCGAGGATGATTGTGGGCAAAAAAAATTCCCGGAATTCCTTCCTGGATTTCCCGGAAAAGCCAAAAAACCTCGGCAACCAGACCACTTAGCGACTTGAAACATTTACCAATCGATTCCTGCGATAATTTAGAACAATATTGCCAAAGAAAGTTTTCAAAAATATCCTTTCGTTCGGTCACAAAAAATTAATTAAGAAATATTTACTACTTTTTACTTTCTCGTATATACGAAGTATAGAGAAAGTCTTGTAATCGTGCAAAAAAAAAAAATCGAGATTTTTGCAAATCTCGACGTTTTGCATCTCACTGATACGGAAAAACATAATTTTGCAATCTTGTCCGTATGTCTGTGTGTCTGTGTGTGTGTGTGTCTGTGTGTGTGTGTGTCCGTGTGTAAACACGATAACTTGAGTACCGTTACAGCTAGGTTGATGAAATTTCATATATAAGTATTTTATCAAAATCGTAGATCCGTATCAACTTTTGAGCGATTTCCGACAACCGGAAGTGGTACTTTTTCTACTTTGAATTTTTCAAAAGCCTATAACTTGAGTACTATTTCAGATAGATAAATTAAATTTCACATGTAAGTAAAAGATCTAATTCTCTACCTTCTGTTAAATTTTGAGTAATTTCCGTTGACCGGAAGTAGTAATTTACGCTACTTCCGATTTCTCAAAAAACTAATGTAAATTTTTAAAGTACTAATAATATTGCGCACTATTATGCGCTTTTTTATTTCGCGTTCACTTGGTGTGCAATTAATTTGTCTACTAGATTTTATTCTATTTTTAAAACTTTAAGTATTTAAAATGGATTAAAAATCATGTCTAGAAGTCTATAGCCCGAGTTCCCATTACCTGTTATTTTATATAAGAATATTCGAGAAAGTTTAGGGGAGATCACTCCCGGTTTATTTAAACTGAGCATCGTGTAGGCCTACTCGTTAAAATAAAACTATTTCCGTTGCTGAATATATGATTTATCTCGATTTAAAATTGTTATGGATAACATAAGGAAATTGTGCTTAAATTGTCACTAGACTTTTTATTAACTTGTTTTGATGAATGTGAGTTTTAATTAGAAAAGGTAAAAAAAAAACATAAAAAAGCATTAGGACAGTTCGAATTGAAAAGCGTGAAAAAAATCCCTACACGGTCGAGGGTTCACCATGAGTAGGCCTATATTGACTTTAATTATCAGCATATGTCACAAACATACATGCATAGTCATTCAATATTCCAAATTTGGATTTTTCTAAAGTTTTGACAACAGTAAATTATCAAATATGAAAACAAAAATTCATAAAGAAATATATTAATAAGCCTAATGTTTTGCTGACGTTTTCGTGTGTTTTGGTTGTGTTTATAATAAAATACGCTCAACTGGAGGTGAACGTGAAGCAGGGAATAAAATACGCTAAAATGGAGTTTTACCATATAAATCAATATTCTCATGTAGAACTTTTAATTTTGGCCTTAGGACTACACTTACTGACTTAGTGTCTAATTTTAAGAGTAAGTAAATAGGCCTAATCTAGTCTAATTTATTCTAGATCTTTGTACTCCAAGTTGTAAGATCTAGATCTAGTAATTAAAATGTAAGCCTATGGCCTAGATAAATGTTAAAATGAGATTGTTTAGGCCTATATTATTGTTTGGAGTTTATATTTAACACATTTATATTTTTTCTGTGTGCTGAAATTATTTAGTATTCTAGATCGACATCGTCTCATAGGCCTAATAGTAAATTACTAAAATTAGATTTTCAAATAAAGTTTACAAATTTTCAGTCAGAAAAGCAAAATAATATAACAATGGTCTACTTAGGAAATATTAATACATGTAATATGATGATTTTTTCTGTTTAGCCATTAGGCCTCTCATTAAAATAGTTGTTGTATAGTGTACACCCTTTTTAGTGTTCATTTAATTTTTTTTTCTTAACAGTAATACCAGCAGCTAAATATGACTTTACACAATAGTGAATTGTCTGTCTTCTTAGTGTTTCAAGAAGCACATTTTTCCTTAGTCTGAATGTTATATTTTTCAGGAACTTGAAGACGAAATGGCTTCTGCATCTCAACAAGAAAAGCAGCCACCAGCTCGGCCACCACCACCGCGTGTAACGTCTCCCCCTCAGTCATCAAGACCGTCTTTAGTAGATTCTGAAATACACTCATTTCAAGATCTACAGAGAGTTCATGATGCTGCTTATCAGTTCATAGATTCTGGACTTCGTGAGGATGAAGGTGGGAACGGACAGCTAGCCATAGAAAGTTACAACCAAGGCCTTCAGTTGTTAAACAAAGCACTGAGGATAAATGTGGAAAAGCTCACTCACTCTACACTAGACCAAATGGAGGCAGCTAAAGAAATCCAGATGAAGATGAACAAAACAAAACAACAAATAACATATCGGCTTCAAGCTCTACAGCCAGCTCTATCAGATTTACAGGTGAGTTTTGTGTTATGTTTTGACTGAATTTATTACAATCAGAAAAACGTATAGAAGACCTTTTTTGTACATGTCATTTTTAACCATTGTTTTAACTTTTTCTTATTGTAACTTCTTAAACATAATCATTTGGTTAAGGTTTCTTCCGTTACTAAAAACAAAAAACCCTGATATTAGCCACTTGATTTTGTTTCCTACATATATTAATTTAAAATATACAAATTATGTATGTAATATTTCAAGCTTCAGCTACTACTTTAGCTGCTCCAAAGTTTTGGTGGCAGATTTTGAAATGATACAATTGAAGTAATTTATTTCAACTCTTTCAAATTTCTTTCTGTGAAAAGCTTTAACTTTTTTTTTTAAGAAGGATTATGTGGGGACAAAAAAGTTTAAAACTGTAAAAAAATATATAGGTGTTTTTTATTTTTAAAATATCTGTATTCATTAAATAATTCTTATTGGATGTGCATTTTTCTATTTGCTTTAAAGTAATTATTTTCTTTAGTATAGTTCTATACTTGACTAAAAATATTTTTAAAATTCTCATACATTTATCTTTAATCTGTTATCCATCAAAAAAATTGTAATTCTAGGAACGGATGGAAGCTGATGCTCCACCATCATATGAATATGCCATTAGCCAGCCTAGCTCCCCACCGTCATATGAAGATGAAGAGCTGGCAGCGCTCGGAGAAAGTCTAATGAGAAGAGAGTTAAGCAACAGCCTGCTGGCTAATGCTAATGAGCTGTTTACAATTCCTGATGGTGTGCAGATATTTTACATCAGCCCTGAAGGATATGTCAGTGCGCCGTCATACCCGACGTCACTTCACATCATCAAGATTGATGATCCACAAGCTCAAGGACCTAATGGCGAAATAGCTCCTGCGTTCATACATGTAAGATTTTTATAAGGATTTTAAAATAATTATACAGATTGTGTAGCATTCAATTTGGTTGAATTATAGCTTTTAAACTTGCTTAGGCTCCATATCTTATTAAAAATATCAGAATAACTATTGCCGCACAAGTGTTAATCATCACTATTTTTCAAAAATAAAATGTCACAATTTTGTTCTAGAATATTTTTTTTTTAATTATGCTTAATTTCCATATGAAATTATCATATAATTTAATTGACATTCTAGCATTGTTTTCTTTGGTGCCTACAATATTTGCCATTGTTGAGAAAACTTTAAGCTGAGATGAAGTATGAATATTTTGTTACTGGTCTCCCACAATCAGAATTGTTAGTTGGACAGCTTAAGTGCATGGCCTATGCTAATGTATTTGTGGTTTTTTTTTTTTTTTACAAAATTGTTGGTTTGACAGCTTAAGCACATGGCCTATGCTAATGTATAGTTGTGTTTTTATCAAATTGTTGGTTTGACAGCTTAAGCACATGGTCTATGCTAATGTATAGTTGTGTTTTTATCAAATTGTTGGTTTGACAGCTTAAGCACATGGTCTATGCTAATGTATAGTTGTGTTTTTATCAAAATTGTTGCTTTGACAGCCTAAGTACATGGCCTATGCTAATGTATAGTTGTGTTTTTAAAAGGTTGGTGACTGGATGTATCCACTAGTACCAGGTCGATCCCCAGCTCTCCATACAAACTATGGAGCATACTTGTTCCCAGATACATTTGCTGCCCCAGGTAACTGTGTGTTTGATAACATCATTGTCATACATTGGTAAAATATCTTAGTACTATGCAGTTAGAATTAAAGGGGATTCTTCTATTCATTTTCACATAATGTATACTTCTTTATTAATTCATAAACATGAAAAATTGCCTGATTCATTAAAGTAGATTTTTATTATATTTCTATATACTTTTTTTTATGAGTTTGCAACACATTACTTCAAATATTTTTTTTTTTCAGGTTCTGCTGTAGGTTTGATTGTGCCAGATGATTTAGATCCAGGTATTCGACAGGAATTAGAGCAAATCATTTCTTCCTTAACAGCCCTTGTGCAGGAACCAGAGGAGGTAATTGGAAGAAAGCCTGTGTTATTAAGTTGTGATGCTGTTTTTACCTGTCCCTCATAGAAGACTGTTGTTATTAAGTTGTGATAGTGTTAATTGTCCCTTATGTTAAACTCCCTCATAGTTTAAGTAACTTTGCATCTCTGGCTGTTTCAAGTAAGACAAAATTATGTGAAGTGTGGGTGGAGGTTATCTGTTAAGCTGTTTAGTTTTTTATTATTATTATTTTTTTATTTATTCACCCATGGGTCATGGAATTTCTATAAACGCATATCCAAATTTTTTAAAAAGTTTCTATTGAAATTGTAAATAACAATCTCCATTGTTTTTTCTCATAATCAGAAGTCTAGAGTAAGTTACCACAACTAAATACTATTTGTTCTGTTCTTGAACAGTTTTAATTTTATATCAACCCTTGCAAATAACATAATAATGCTAGGGGATAACTAAATGATTCTTACTTAGGTTGTAGGTCACATAATGAGATAACCTTATTTGGTTACATTGCTGAGTGTTGTGGTCTGTTTATTTTAATATCATTCTTATTTTTTATGGTATTTTTAAATTTTATAAATGTGCAGTACAAATCAACATAAATCACAGGTTACTTTAAAAAAATAAAATTCTTTTAACCAGCAACCAGCGGAAGCAGTGGAACCACAAGACATGGCTGGTAGAATTTCTAAACACATTACTGCAGGTTAGTAGCTCTTTGACGTAGTGATTGTATCTTTAATTTAGGTGAATTAATAAGTGAATCAAACGTGTTATTTTATAACCATAAATATGGCTGGTAAAATTTCTAAACACATTACTGCAGGTTAGTAGCTCTTAGGAGTAGTGATTTTATCTTTAATTTAGGTGAATTAATAAGTGACAAACATATTATTTTAAAACCATAAGAAAAAAATAATATATGTGCAGTGATGTTGTAATTAAGCTTGTTCAGTAGTTGCTGAAAGAATCAAGTTGTTATCTAATACTTAATTAATATAAATTATGTAAATATAAAAATGTGAAATATTTTTACTATTAAAATAAATAATGTGATTATAACCAAAGCTCTAATGAATAATTGTTAATGTTAAATATAAAAGTTCAAAATCTCAAATAATCTCAAAAATCTATTTTTACTAAATAAACAAAGCTTTAACTACATAATGTGTGAATTAAAAGTCCAAAAGCTGAACCGTTTTGTTTTCCTTTAGCTGCTGACTTCATAGCCTGGGGTTTGACTAAAGGGGCAGAGAAGGCTGGGAGGCTGATTCAAGCTGGGTCTGAGAAGATCCAAAAAAATACTGAGAAGTGTTCCAAGCCACATCCTGTCGACCCAAAGCTGCAGAAAGGTGTTGTCTATGCCAGACAGGCCACTCATGGGGCAGTGCAAGTAACTGGCTATGTGGGTAAGTGTGATGACGCTAAGGTAGATAAGATTCAAAGATAGGTGATAGGCAGAATAGTGTAGGTCAGCTAGACATTAGTCAAGCAGAATGAATAGAATTGCAGTGGAATGAATTGACCGGTCATGTGTGACAGTCAGCTGACCTAGCGTCAAGATATCAGGAGTTGGTTTAAGATAGTGGAGTTGATTGGTCGAGCGTTTAGGAGAAAGTTGAGTGTTAAAAGGCTGTTGGAGATAGTAATTGTTAGGAAGCAGTAGAACAGAGATTGTGTATTACTATTAGTTAGGAAGTTACAGTTGAGTAGATTGTTAGGTAGTAGAAAGTTATAGTCAAACAGTTGGATAGCAGAAGTGTATAGTATAGTACAACCCGGTAGTGTGTGGAATAGGATATTGAAATGTGAAAATAGGAAATAGTAGATAAACTTGAATATCATTAAATTGTGCTTGTGTTGATTTCACACTCGGCATCAGAAGGGTCGATCCCCTAACCCTGGGGTCGGCAACCTGCATCTTGCGAGCCGCATACGGCTCTTTTGATGGCAATATGCGGCTCTCTAGTTCCTTAATAATTGTTTTTTCAAAACTCAAACAATTATTATATTACAAAAACAAAAACAACTTTTAACAAAATAAAAAAACAATGAGAAGAGGTGGAATAGAGTGTAGAGCGTATATGTGGACAGCTGACAACTGAACTGTGGCCAGCCCTGTGGTAATGGTCCCATGCTTTCCACTACAGAAGTGCACATGAACACTTTAGTGGCTCTTTAAAAATATGGAAATTTTGCCGATTGCAACTTTTGGCTCCTATGTCTCAAAAGGTTGCCGTCACCTGCCCTAAACCCACATAAAATACACATGACGGTGACATATATAAAACATCTCTCCTCATACATAATAAGTAAAACCACTGATTGTTCTGTGGTTGTTTTTTAAATTTTGGCTATTCACAATTATTTTTTTTTAATTTTGGCTATTCACAACTTTTTTTTTAATTTTGGCTATTCACAACTTTTTTAAAATTTCAAATTAAATTACTTATTGTTTTAAAATTCTGAATGTTTAGAAATTAATTATCCAACTTTTTTAGTTGAAAAATTATTATTTTTTTCTGTGTAGTGAAGAAACTAGGGGAGGTCACTATGCAGCTGGGCAGAGAAATAGCTCCACACATTAAAAAACATTGCAAACATTGTTTACCTAAATCTTTGTCTGAAGAGAAAGCGAGTGGTAGGTCAACGCTGGATGGCATAACAGATGTTGCAGCTACTAGTCTCAAAGGTTGGAGTCTTTAATTGCTTATCATGTTTTTAAAGTAACTTAAAAAAAATCAAAAATAAATAAGTGAAAAAATTGAAAAATCATGAAAAATGCTATTTTTAAGTATTGGTCCCTCCTTAAGCAATTAATTGTAAATTAATATTGTAAGACGATAAGTCTTTACAACCACCACCTTCTGAGTTATTCACACAAGACCACCACAAAATGAGAGTTGTGGCCATAGGAATCTCATCCATTTAGAAATTATAGCTCATTCATAGTTGTGTGGCTAATTTTTTTAAAATTATTTTTATTTTTTTATCCATAAAACTTTGGAATAGAAGTTTGTAAAACAATGTTCATTTTGAACACTTTTTAGTAATGATTTTGAAATTTTGTTTGTTAGATGATTCATAAATAAAGTTTATAAATATTTATTAAAAATGTAATTACTTTGAATATCTCTGATTAGGTTTTGGCACTGTTTACATTGGCCTTGAGACAGCAGCGAGGTCGCTGGGGCGCTGTTTAGTGAGCGAAACCACACAAGTCGTCAATCACAAGTAAAATTTTATAGGGTCTATTATATATTAGGAATCCACTTGCAACACCTGCTACATCATTTCAGATTGATGTCCCAAAACATTTCTTTGAATAATTCTTCTCGTTAGCTAATTTTTAGGATTTTCATTTTTTTTACTGTTAAAAGGTGGGAACTGAGTGGCTTAGCAGTAGAGCGCTAGACTGCAAACCCAAAAGTGTCAAAATCGTGGTTCAAGTCAGTAGACTCCCTGAGACCACCAAGCTCTTTTGGGTCCTGAACTCATGTTAGGGAAAGTCAATGCGGCTGTACATAGTGCTGACCACATTATCCCTTCATATGCTGAGGTCAAAAACATGAACTCTGCTTCATCTGCCCAATGGACGGCTAGGTCTAAAGAGGAATCTTTACTTATTTTTTTATTGTTAAAAGGGTATTTAACAATATTACAGATTTATGATGAAATAATAATCTTAAATACTCATTTTACATTAGGAATTGTGGATGAAATTCTAATTTTACATATACAGATTTGTGGATGAAATACTCATCTTACATATCACAGGTTTATGCTGAAATACTAATATAACATTACAGATTTGTGATGAATTAATATTACATATTTGTGATGAAATGCTACTATGATACATATTACAGATTTTGTGATAAAATCTAATCTTACATATTACAGATTTGTGATGAATTGCTACTATTACATATTACAGATTTGTGATAAAATCTAATCTTACATATTACAGATTTGTGATGAATTGCTACTATTACATATTACAGATTTGTGATGAAATTCTTATCTTACATATTACAAATTTGTGATGAAATACCACTATTACACATTACAGATTTGTGATGAAATCATCTCTTACATATTACATATTTGTGATGAAATACCACTATTACATATTACAGATTTGGTGAGGAAGCTGCTGGGTTCACAGAGAACACCATGTACGCTGCAGGAAATGTTGTCCTGACAAGCCACAACGTCCACAACCTCGGCATGAAGGCGATCGCAAAACGTGCTGTCAAGGACACCGGCAGAGCTCTGCTAGAAGAAGGGAGGAATGCTCCAGAGGAAAACGGAAAGGCTGCCGGTTCTGTAGATAAAGAGAAAGTGTGATAGAAGCAGTAGGGAAGGTTATATTCAGCCTATGCAGGTTGACATCTAGTGTCAAGACTTGGGGGTGGTCCAGTACATCATCTGATTGAAGTTGAATTCGTCCATGTGTATTTACAGAATCCATTCTTATATTTTAAAAACATCACAGTCATCACTTTGTATCAAAGTATTAATAATACAAATTCATTATTTAATATGAGAAATGGTTTTTAGTATTTAATAGAATAAAATGTAGTACACTAACATTTTTTGGCTGGGTTATTTTTATTGCATTTATTTTATTTGATATTTATATTTATTATATTGTCAAAATAAAATCTATCAGTCTTCTACTGTGAAGGATGATTTAAGAAAGTTTTTAATTGTTTTACCTCAAATAGTATAGATAACCTGCATATTTAATAAGATATGAATTAGCCAGTTCTAGTTGTAGATAGTAGTAGATTTCACCTGTTTAGATTAGCCTGATCATTATCACCTTTGTCCTACACTGACCAATCACCAGCCAGTTTTTTATTACATTTTTGCTGTATGAAAATCAAACAAGCACCAATTTATTTCTGTTGGTGCTTTGTTTTTATAAGAATACTGTGCCTTACTGGTAGTAGTGTAGTTAAGGTAATCTCAATGTGGTCAGTATTCCTTTCTTTGAATGAAAACTTTGGATTTATTTTCTTTAATTCTAAGATAGTCTATGTTATAAAAATCCAGTTTATTTATATAAATAAATTATCCAATGTTTACTTTTTAGGCTGAATACTAATTATTGTATAGACCTTTACAATGTACATCCTTGCAATTGATCCAACCAAAATATCTGCAAAATTGTTTTGTTTTTTTATATGAGTTATTTATGACAATTCCAAATTTTAATTAGTTACCTTGGTCTTTCTGTTTGATTTGTTGCTGTTAGTTACATATTGACTCTGTCACCCACCGGATGTAGGGAATTCTGTTTTACTGTAGCTTTTGTTTGCCTGACAAAATGTTGTTTCACCATTGTTTGCAAATTTTTACCTCATCTTGCTACTTAATATATCTTTAAATAATCTATTCCAACAAAATGTTTCTTTAAATATCTAAAAAAAAAATCAGTGTTTAAACTACTGTCATTTGTAGATGTTTATGTTTATAGTTTTATAAAAGCTAGGTTTAAATAAATTTTTAAGTAAACTTTCAGCTTTTTTTTTAATACCAATTATTATTTTTAAGATATGCCAAGTCTATACTATACAACAGAAAGGCTTTAAGCGAGATTTACTGGACCACTTACAAACAGCAATACTGGTGCACAAAGCAGCATTTATGCAACAATTAATTTATTTTTATTTATTTATCTCTTAATTTTTTTTTTTTTAAATTGGAGTCAGATTTTTCTTCAGCTTTTGATATAGGTTATCTCTTCTTTCTGTTTATTTATCACGTTTATATTCCTTTAACTTTGATTTTTTTTTATTTTTTTTTTTAATTATGCATTTGCCTGTTGCTTTAATTCTGTTGTGGAGTTGATACAGTTTCTCTGTTTCAAACAGAATATCTGTGAATTTAAAAAAAATAATTACTGAATAGTTTGTTGTTGTTTATTCTGTATAATATATTTAGCCTGTGATAAAAGTTCCAATAACGAATGTTTTTTTTTTTACCTTTTATTTGTATTTGTGCAGAGTATAACTAAATTTGGCTAGCTTTTTCAGAGAATGATAGGCTTTCACTGTTAATAAGATTTTTGTTTTTTCCTACTCTTGACTACTTGTCTACTGCCATTATTTATGCTAGAATTGAATTCAACTGCTATAAAAAAAATTATTGCTGCTATCTTAAAGAAAAAAGTTATTGCTTATTTTATATTGTACGAACAAAATAGTTACTTGAGAAAAACAGTTTTTTTTATCTTTGTTATTTGTTTAAAACTGAGTTGTCCAGTATTTCAATGTGAGGTGACATTGACATTGGGTTTTTCAGGTCTGAGATTAATAATTATTGACCCAAAAGTTTTGTTGTTTGGTGTTCAGGGAATGACTTATGGAAAATGAGCAAGTGACACATCTTGTGAACTTGTACTGTGTAATGTGTTTAGGAGGAAAAGGTCTGAGAAATTTTGGGTAATATTTGGGGGAAAAAATTGGTTAATGATTGTTAGAAATGTGTTTATTTTAAAGGTGGGGGGGGGGGGCATCTGTGATATGGCTATTTGTGAATGTGGCTGAGGGGTGTTCATATTGAGTGTCATGTTTTATGACTGCTGGTCTAGGGATGTTCATATTGAGTGTCATGTTTTATGACTGCTGTGTTATGAGTGATTAGACTCATCTGTTGTTTGAATAGAATGAGATTATATAAAATGAGATCACTTTTCTATATATTTTTTTCATATTTGAATACATTGCTTTTTTTTTAAATTATGGTTTCTTATTAAAATGTTTTAGTGATCTTTTGTTTTCTTCATTCTGTAGTCAGAAGTAACTTACACGTTTGTTGTATGAATGGCACCTCTAATTTACTTACCTTTTTTGGTGTTTTACTCAATGTTTGTTGAAGTAAGTGGTAAAAATTATCAAAAAACACATCTTTTGGGTAGAAACACTATTTACATATTCTAACTTCTGATCTTGTCTAGATAAGATTATTAAAAAGAGGATATTATACTTGTACGTTAGGATTTTATGTACTTTTTGCATAAGTGGCAGGGCTTATCTGTACAAGACCCCTATATTCTTCTTCACTGGACACAACAGCGCATCCTTTTATTTTGAGCCCTTTGATTCTTGCGAAAATCAAGTTTAGCACAATGCTCATCTAGACTCGGTAATAAATAGTGTCACGTTTTTTACTCATTATACACATCCCCCCCCCCATAACAATTATCATATGTTGTCACAAAAAGTAAGACCCGCCAAATTCCCTGTATTTGTGTTGCTCATTTTTCCGTCACCAACTAAATTATTCTATTTTCTTTGGAAAACAATCAATTCTATTATACTGAGTTGTTTCCCTTTGACAAAGGGATATAACCAAATAAATACGCACGTCTCTCCAGGAATGCTGTATCACTGTTTATGGAAGAATGCATTTAGTATCACTCTAATTCTTGCATGTAGCCCTGCAGCATTTTGCATGAAGAAAAAAAATTACAGGCGCTATTTTGAATCTCATAGAACCCACAAATGCATCGTTATCAAAATTGTGTGACTATGTAGGCGTAATATGTAAGAGGCCTACACATAGTATATAGTATATATTTATATACAAACTATTTAATTTAAAATAACCTTTGAATAACGGAGTTGTCTGCAGTGTTTCTTCCAGACTTTTTTATTATCCGGGGGGGGGGAGTGGAACTAAAATTTTCGGGGGTGGGGTGGACACTGTTAAAAGTATATAATTTCTATATAAATTCCATTTCGTTCGGGGGGGGTGCAGAGATGACTGGTTCGACTTTTCATTTATTTTTATTTTTTTAATTTTATATCAGGATTTTTTTTGTTTTGTTTTTTTAACTTACGCTAGCTTGAATAAAATACAACCTAAACAAATTACAACCCGGGGTTGTATGTACTTCTACACAACGAGTGCTCAACACACTCGTCCCGTTGTGTCCGCGTGTTTCCCACCACTGCTCACTGCGGCGTAAGGTAAGGGTACGGCTGTATCATGCGTGTGAGCAAGGAGTAGGCGTAAAGGGTCGAGGCTACTGACACGTACACAGGTCAACATTTTTGGGTGTGTAGCTGCTTAGTCTTCACACGTAGTGCACAAGACGGCGGAGACTACGTTTATTCTAGATCTACCATGAATATTATATGAACCAGAAGGGTCTGTATAAACTGTATTATTATATTCATTATGTTGTATACGATACATTGTATACTAATTGATTTTAGTTCTTTACATAGACCAATCTATTAAGTTAGGTAGGCCTATATTATACTAGATTTCTATATAGTTTATCAGTATAATAGTATTAATAGATATATAGATAGATCTATATTATTAATATTATAGATCTATATAATTTATAGATCTAGATCTATACAGTAAGTGTGGGATAAAGATTTTTAAATCATTTTATTGGTGATATCCTACATCATTACATTTTTTAGATCTACGAATTTGTATTCATATAGATATTGATAATAATTTAGTTTATATTTAGATATCTAGACCTGTACATGTAGGCATTGTAGCCTATTCTACCTGGTGTGTGTAGCATGTTGACCTACGTATATGACTATTTTAATTAACTTATTAATGTAATGTATTGGCTTATGGATCTAGAATAACTACAATTTGCCATCACTTTATTTGCCATTTGCTTCAAAGTGGTATTTAACTTTTTCTGACTTTTTTTTTCCAAATTAATTTTTTTCTTAATGATATGAATGATCTACCTTCCCCTGCATATATTTTTATGTATGTTAGCTGTATATAATCATTATATTAATGTATATTGCTTAAATCTTTATTTTTAATCCCTCTACTATGGGACCACGCATATATCAAATTTTAAAAAGGCCAACATAAGGAGTGAGGCAGTAGTGTTGCTAGACCCATATAGCAGCACATCATTGCCCCCTCCCCCCTCCCCACCATGCACACAATGTTACCTTCATAATACTCTAACAGGTGATGTGGAAGTAATGGAAAACTTGAATTAATTAAAGTACCAGCATCACAGGAGCATCACTGCAATGTCACAGACGATTGGTTACCCTAGGAGTCCTCTAGGATGTCTTGTGATATGTCTTTCCTTGTGCCTATCCCATGTGGGAAGTATGGCAGTGGAGGTCCCCTTCATTGCCAAGCAAATTCTAATTTACGGAGGTAATGTATGAAGTTAGTTATAATCTAATTATACGGAGGTAATGACAAAATGTATGACGTTAGTTATAATCTAATTATACGGAGGTAATGTATGAAGTTAGTTATAATCAAAGGCAATTATGGGGATTGGAGATTTTGGCCTGTCAAAAGTTCAAAACTCTTGTGCATATTTGTAATTTTTATATTTTTTATAAAGTGTAAAGTTTATTTAAAGTTTATTTAATGCTTGTTTATATAAATATGTGTATTCTAGAGTGGATCACAGAAGGGTAGGGACAAGAGTTCTTAGCCACATCACTTTCCTGCTCCAACATATATATTTATATATTCTTTAATAGAAGGATTTGTGAATGTAATGTAAATATTGTACAGTGTTGTACTGTTCTGGAAAAATGATGTTCTCTATTTGAATTACAAAACCAAAAGGTCCATAATGTACAGTTACTGTTTAAATGATTTAACTTTGGAAATTAAAAACTAGGAAATTTGACAAATTTAAAACAAACAAAAACATTTAATTGAAAATATTTCAGTAGGTTAACAAAAAGTTAAACAGAATTCTCTGCTTAAAAAAAAACTCTCAGGCAAAAATTATCTTTATTTGTTATAAATGGCCTTTCACATAATTGGAACTGTTTGAATATTCTATTTGACCTTTTTAAAATCCACTTGTTTCAGGCAATGGATTTATTGGAAGTAGCACAGCCGAGCGTTTGATAGCTGCTGGACACAACCTGACCCTAGTCAACAGGGGCAACTGGTACTGGGACTCTGGGTATACAATCAAACCATTTGTCCATCATATCCAATGTGACCGGCTACAACCAGTAAGTATTTCTAATGATGCTGGAAGCAAATAAGGATGTTATTTCTTTTATAGTAATACTGCTTGACTTAATCCTTTGTGACCCCTGGGGAGCAAAGGGCCGCAATCACTACTCTCCGCTGGACTCTCCTTATCTGCACCCATGCAGTGGCAGTCAAGGGGGGGTTTAGGGGGGGAGGTTTATAACCCCTTCCATGGACCCCGACACCTATATATATAGTCATATATATATAGTCATATATATATACCGGTAGTCATATATATATATATATATATATATATATATATATATATATATATATATATATATATATATAGAGGACTATATACATATGGAAACATTTTTGAGCCCCTCCCATGACCAATTCCTGGCTGCGCCACTGCACACATGTGAGCCCAGCAGCCTTTGCCTCTTTTTCTACTGGTCTTCTCCATCCATGATCTCTTAGGCTATTCCACTTTCCTTGTAATGCTTTCATAGCCCTAGTTATAAACCCTTATGTGATACAGGAAGGCAAAAGAAATTTACTCTTTCAGACCTGATGGTCAGTAAAGCACAAAGTAGAGTTCTCATGTTTCTGTTAACCCTACATTTTATAGGACAGTGTGGTTATTTCTATATCCAGCAGCCTTTATTTCCCTAACCTCAGTTGGGTACCCATCATAGCTGGATGGACTCATGGACATCCTACAGACTCAGCATCAGCACATGAACTCAGCTTGAGACTTATATGTTAGCAGTCTACTATCTGATCTTGTCACCCTGTTAAGGGGCAAAAAACATTACTAAAATACTGCAGTCTTACCAACTAATCATAAAACTCTAGTTTTATTTTACTGAAATTTGTATCAATCTAAAACTTGCCAAGAAATTTTATATCCAACTTGTTAAGAAATTTTACATCCAACTTGTTACAAAATTTTATATCCAAGTTGTTAAAAAATGTTATGCCCTACTTGTTAAGAAATTTTATATCTAACTTGTTAAGAAATTTTATATCCAACTTATTAAAAAATGTAATGCCAACTTGTTAAGAAATGTTATATCCAACTTGTTAAGAAATTTTATATCCAACTTGTTAAAAAATGTTATGCCCAACTTGTTAAGAAATTTTATATCCAACTTGCCAAGAAATTTTATATCCAACTTATTAAAAAAAATGTACTGCCAACTTGTTAAGAAATTTTATACCCAACTTGTTAAGAAATTTTACATCCAACTTGTTAAAAAATTGTATATCCAAGTTGTTAAGAAATTTTATATCCAACTTGTTAAAAAATGTTATGCCCAACTTGTTAAGAAATTTTATATCCAACTTGTTAAAAAATGTTATGCCCAACTTGTTAAGAAATGTTATATCTAACTTGTTATGAAATTGTATATCCAACTTGCATAGAAATTTTACAAAACAATATTTCTTTTTCTTCCCCACCCAGGGTATCAACTGTGAGGAGCTGATGTACTACACAGCCAACTCAGAAAAAATTGATGTTGTTATAGACTTCAGTGCTTACCACCCAGAAACTCTCACCCAGTCTCTCCAAAAGCTGGGTGCCAAGACCAAACTCTATATCTTTATCAGCACAGACTCTGTGTATGATGTGAGTATTGGTGAGGCGCTAGAAGGGGAACGTTGGTTATCTTGTTGTAGAATAGATTATAATTTTATATGTGTTTTAGTGATGTGTTTGATGGTTAGATCTAGAATTTAAATATTAATTTAATTCATATGAAGAGGGCACTGTAGCACCTGTAGCCATGGTATATGAGGGGGATATTGAAGCTAGAAATGGGATGGCGTGGCCTAAATGGTAGAGCTCTAAGCTGCTATCCTGAAAGTCTTGAGGTTGAATTCTGGTTCAAGTCAGTAGAATGTCCCTGAGTCCACCCAGCTCTGATGGGTACCTAACTCATGTTAGGGAAAGTAAAGGCGGCTGGGCAAAATGCTGACCACACTATCTCTTCATATGTCCAGGTCAAGAAACATATAAACTCAACTTCATCCGGCCAATGGATTGCTAGGTCTAAAGTGCATTCTTTACTATTGCTTTATGTATATAATATATCAATATCTGCGCAATCATTAGGAATTAATTTCATTTATACTTCCACTATTTTCACCCATCAAATAAAATTTGCTAACTAATCATGAATTATGCCCTAGATATTACAAAATCTATTTCATATTTAATAATCTTTTGATATATATTTAAAATTGTGATTAACTTTTCAGGTATGTGAAAAGAGTCACACAGAACCAAGTCGAGAATCTGACGCAGTTCGCCCGTCTTCACAGGAAGTGCGCGAAAAACTAGAGAGGGAGGAGAGTTATGGCCACAGGAAGCTGATGTGCGAGGAGATTTTATCCACCTTCCGCCAGGAAAAGAACGGACCTGCGTATGTGATTCTACGGCTACCCGACGTAGTTGGGCCTCGTGATAACACGTACCGCTGGTGGGTGTATCAGCTGTGGATGAAGCTGAGGCCATTTTTAGAACAGGATGTGGTGATTTCAGAAAGAACGGCATCGCAGCCGATGAGTTTGGTTTATGTTGAAGATGTCGCGAATCTAATTGTGAGCTTAGTAAACAAGGTCCCACCTGCGGCAGTGGACCAAGTGTTCAATGTAGCGCAGAAAGAAACCATCACGTTAAAGGAGTTTGTCAATGGCATAAAAAATGAATTAAACCTTACGAATATTAACATTTTTACAAGCAGCAAACCTGATACTATTATGCTCTTACCATCAATTCGATCAGGCCCAGTCGATGTCACCAAGGCAGAACAAATTTTAAACTGGACCACAACACCTTGGAATAAAGTGGTGAAAGACACTTGCAGTTTTTATGAAGACGCTGTTCACAACATTCGTTTTGATAAGCATTTGAAAGATATGATTCGAAATTTACAAACCTATTTGACTTCCAAGCCTTATGAGGTCATTCAAGGATTTGATGAGGTTTATGGGTTATCTTTTGCAAATCCAAAGGATGAGCTTTAAATGTTTAGGTTTTTTAGCAAAATAATAAAATGGTGCAAGGGTCCATCCATAAATGCAATTTTTCTTTCTAAAATATTTAATACTTCCAGTCAACACAGAGTATATGGATCAATTTTATTGTAATTTACAACAAAAAAATTCTTTAAAAGTGTTAAATAATGGTTAAAATTCAAATTTTATACTTCCTTATTGAAAATGCAAAATTGTGTAGTTACACTGTCTGAACTCCCTCTCCCCCTCATGAAAAAAAGTCAAAAACCTCTGTTCCCCTCTAGGTGTGTGACTGTGACATTGTTTATAGGTGACCTTCCCCCCCCCCCCCCCCCCCTCCCCAATATATTTTAAATAATTTAACCTTTAAACTTAAACTCTTACACATACTTTTTCTTCCCTTACCTCATTTTTTTATTGTGACCTGAATCTCCACGATTATTGTTTATCTGTAACAAAATGTCTATATGCTTCAAATTAGTTAAAATTTAAATTACATGGGACCGATTATTTTATATTAAAAATAGCGTCAACTTCCCTAAATATTTATTCTTCAAATGATTCCTTTGTGTCATGCTATCAAATGAAGAATGTGATTTTAATTTTTTTTAAAGCAAATATATTCTGTTTGAACAATATATTTTATGTAAAGAAGATTTTTATTTTGTTGAAATCTTTGTCAGTATTAATTAACACATCAAATGTTTAATATTTACAGTTTTGAGGTAAAGTATGGATTTTTTGATGTTTACATTTTTGAGATAACTTTATTACTACTTTACACAATGCTTTTATGTAAAACAAGTTACTGTTTTGAAATATACATTTTTTAAACAAGGTGCTATTTTATTTTTAATTTAAAATGTTTTTCTCACTTCTGTATTAAAATAATTTTTAGAAAAAAAAACCATCCTGCTTCTGTTTTTCATTTGGTGAGAATCTTGTTGTTGAAGAGAAATTATTACTTTAACAGATAAAGGTTTGGGTACAGGTGCGGAAATGTAGGAGTAAAATCAAGTGTGAATAAGTAGACCATAAAATTTGGATGAATATCAACATTGATGAAAAAAGCTTTAGTGAACTAGCCACCAGAAACAAATTCTAATTTCATTTTTTAAATTTACACAAGGCTTTACAGTTTCTTTACATTAAGGACTCAGTGAAATTAAAGTGTTGTTTAATAATGCTAAGAGATGGCCACACAAATGTTTGCCATGATGTCTTGGTGGATTTAGAATGCAACGGAATAAAGTTGTCTGGTTCTAGGCAAGAGATATATTAACTAAACCTCTACAACTGTACAATTTTTTGTAACTCCTCCAGAGTTTCTTCCAGGCATCTCTTTGGGGATGAACGAAATGAAATTTATATAGAAAATATATTCTTTTAACAGTCTACCGCCCCCCCCCCCCAAAATAAATTTCAAATACCCCCCCCCCCGGGGAGAAAAAAGTCTGGAAGAAATACTGAACTCCTCCTTACCTTGGTTTACTATTCAGTAATCTTTGATTTTATCCACGTTTTATCACTTTCACCTGCATTCCATTGCAAAAAATCTGTTCAAGATCTCATTAAACTTGTTCGTATTTAAGAACAAAATGTCGCTTGCTCCACAGCTCTCATCTAAAAAACAAGTAATTTAAAAAAGTCTAGTGACAATTTTAGCGCAATTTCCTTATGTTATCTAAAAATAGCTCTGTCGTAGCGTAAATCAAGAGCAGGGTTAGTAAAACCATTGGTTAGTTATTAAAACGTTTTTTATTTTAAAAAAATTCAGTATTTTACATGTTTTATTTACAATAGAGTAACATGACTAAAAACCATTGCGCGCCTAGCTACCAAACGTGATGTCGCAGCCATTGAACGTGATGGCGCAGCTATTGAACGTGATGACGCGTGTGGTGTGGTTGGAAAAACATGCCTACTAATTCGGTCCAAATTTTAATTAATTCAAAATTTTTTTTAAAGGATATTTTTGAAAACTTTCTTCGGCAATATTGTTCTAAATTATGGCAGGAATCGATTGGTACATGTTTCAAGTCGCTAAGTGGTCTGGTTGCCGAGATATGGGCAAAAAAACTGCATTTTCTCGAGGTTTTTTGGCTTTTTCGGGAAATCCATGAAAGAAACCCGGAATTTTTATGGCCTATGTTCATCCTCGTAGCTTGCTTAACATAATTGCTTTTGTAACTAGTCATCGATATTGCTTCGTTGAGGAGGAGATACGACTTAAAGCCCGGACACACATCCATACATTCATCCATCCATTCCCAGAAATGACGAGTTAATAAACGCAATTCTCCAGAATGGAAATTGCGCTAAAAAAAATATTCTGTTAGCCATTGCCCCAATGTTCGTAAAGTAATATTAATTAATGATTGGGCTATTTCTCTTGCATTGTCTCCCCTTTATTTTTTTTTTTTTTTAAACCTTATTACTTTATTATCATGTGGTTTTTTATTTAACACTTACTGATAAAAGTACGATTACTTGTTTATTTATATTTAAGATTTTAAAATAAAAAGTTTAAAAATATTATTATTTGTTTTAGGTTTTATTAATATATTTTATAATCTTTTCTTTGCAACCCATATTAATTTTAAAAATATTGTATTTTAAATATTTTTCTCCTCTGTAATCTAGTTATGAGTAAAATAAATCGCTTTATGACTTATATATTTTCTGACAGTGCCCCAAGGCACTCCAAAAAACAATGTAAAGATGAAAAAAAAAAGAAGATGGCAAGTAATCACTTCACGTATAGTATCTGTTCTCGGTTCTGCACTGATCTTAGCCATTGGTTGGTCAGCCCTTTTCAGGGTTGGCTGCCGGGGTCAAATCAACTCCTCAACTAAGTAAATAAGCAATCAATTGCAAATCTCGCCATCGATCGCTGTGAGGTTGCGCCCACACATCCTTCGAAGTGCACTAGGCCCTTGACGACACACACCTAGGATAAATCTTAGTGGGAGGTTCCGTCAGAATACCAGATCAAAGCTCAACTACTCAAAACTTCATCTACGATACACAATCAACTCGACATCACCAACTTCGTAAAATAAACTATCTTCAACAGCATCATTTCGCCCACCTCAACTACTCGACTACGCAAGAATACCCTACGATGCAACCTCACTCTCTCTCTCTCAAACTACACTCATAAAATGAACAATGAAACAAAGCAACCTAAGCAAAACGATGACGCCACCTCACCTATCTTCTCCAAGCTCTACCCCAATCGACCAACCCTACCATCATCGAGAAAACAGCTACACAAGACTCGCCCTTTCATTAATACACAACAAGACCTGATACAACCAAGAAAAAAGAAAAACAAGTAACGGAAAGTGTAAACAAGTGTACAAGAAGACAGAAGAAATAAGAAAATTCCAAGAGCACAAAATATTGTGTATAAATATGTAAAAGAAAAAAAAAACCAATGTAAAGTTGTTTAAATAAGTACAGAAATAATTACCTAGCTGTACTGAAAAAAAAATGATTATTAATGTATTTGATGATATGGAATGTAAATAAAGGACTGCAATACATCAGTGAGGGATTTTGTATTACATAATATATTCGAATCCAAACTAAATCTATTAACTTTTTTAAAATCTAATATAGATTTCTTGTCCACAACTCTACAATTTTTAAAGTGAGAAACACGAATCATTTTAGCCAAGTCGTAGTATTATTCCCCTTGCATTATTTCCCTTTAATTGTTCATTTTTTCTAAAATATATAAATTTATTAATATGCATTATTTATTTAACTTGTTACCATTCAAATAAGCTTATTAAATTAATTATATTATAACTTAAAAGATTAAAAGTGTTTAATTTTAATGAAATATTTATAATTTTATTTCTATAAAACTAATATTCTATTTATTAAAACCATATGAATTATACAATGCTTTTATTTTAAATAAAATTTCCCGACTTTTGCAGATACCTGTTCAAAAAACGGTTAGAAAGTTATGAATTTTTTTCGATTTTCTGGCAGTGTCCTTTACGGCACTCAACACTTTTAAATGTTTACGATTGGCCTTAAACTTTTCATAAACAACCCAAATTATAATAATTCAATTACAGGTGTCACACGCTTAAAAAGAGTTTTGAAAATTCAAAATGCGATACTTCTGCATTGACGTAATTATAACCGCAAACACTTGACAAGTTCTTACATTCCCTTATAGAGGGAAATAGATCAATTAATATATTAAATAAGAAATCGAATTTATTTTAGTGCAATAGCCCCCTCAACTCCTTGCAATTTTAGGGCTGTAGTGACATTTCATTTTGAATAGCTAGGATCTGACTTTTTCGTATGTTTGAGGGTTTGTAAAATAATTGGCAAAAAGGCACGTCGACTTTTTAAATCACTCACTATTTCTGTGATCTAAAAATACCTGTTTCAACTGACTGGTGTCAATAGTTTCTTGCATTATCAGTCCAGCTTATTGATGTCGAGCTTTTTTATCCTTTTAAAATGTGTGTTTGAACTCGCTGAGTAATAGCACGCTTTGTACCTAAAGATATTTTGGCTAGTTTCACAGACACTATTTCTTTTTATGCTTGTCTGTTTTCATACTTTTATTTTGCATGAGACCAGACACTAAAGCTGTGTTTTTTCACCCATTTTTTTATCTACCCTACATCACTATACTATTACCAAACAAAAAGCAGGTAGCTGACAACTAGTGTTTAGTTAGTTAATTGCTTAATAAATTATGCTTAACCAATGCAAAGGCTGCCTATTTTATCCATAGGTATTACTTCTTTTTTAGAATGGGTTTGACATGGTTTTCAGTGATACATTATTAAAATTAATTAGTTTTAATTTAAAAATTACTCTTAATACTAGTTAAATGTAAATCTTGGTCAATTATTTTACAAACATTTGTTTATGACAACTTTTAAATAAAAAACAGACAAAAACAAGTGTTTTTAAATCATTTATTTACAACAACATTTATGGGTTCTTATAATTACAAATAATATGAACAATATCTATTAAAATGCCTATATTACTTTAAGATGTTTTTCATTTTTAAAAATGTCAATTTTACTTTAAATTAGCTGGATAATATTAAACCTATTTTATTATACTTTGAGAACTTGAAAGTATTGAAACCAATCTTTCATAATCTAATTATTAAAATATTTTCAGAAGTCAAATTTGAGCTAAGAAGTTGTTTCTTGAAACTTAAGTGCATGGTAAAAATGTATCAGCAAAATGTACAACAATTTAAATCGATATTTTTTACAATACTTGACCATATCAACTGTTTAATTCATGGCTTAGATTAATACTTGACACCAACGTATGTGAATGAGCCACATTAGAAAAAAAAAATTAAACAATTACATGGTTGAAAAGATACCTTGCATATTCAAAATAATATCTATCGAAAACCTTAATATTTTTTACTTCTCATTTCTATATCAAGTTTAGAGAACACATTGGTCTTGTGAGGTTAATAATTGTTAATTCTTTTTAAACAACAATTCTTCTCAAAATTCTCAGAGGCTGAAGCATAAGAAACAGGTTTAAATCATCTAGCTGGGGACTTGGAGATGCCTTGTTCAATGAGCTGCAGGTCGGCAGCGTCCTCTTTGATAATGTCAATCAGATGTTGGAGACCTTCTTGTTGTTGTTTGAGAATCTGGGGGAAAATTAAAAATATTTGTCATCAAAACTGATTTTTTGTTGTTGTGTTACTTTGTTTATCATTTAAAAATTAAAGCAGACTGTCTACTGTGAGATTCAGAGGCCAACGTTAATGATTTACAACGGTGACTGGGAATGTACAATGAGAAAAAACAGCACAAGGGAATATTTTTTTTAAATCCAGCATTTAAAAATATTAACAAAGAATAATTACAAGTACACTGTAGCATTATAAACTAATTTCCCACGGGATATGACAAAATAAAAGTGTATTGGTATAATTGGTTTATTTTTGGGCCTTTTTTTCCTAACAGATTTCCATTGCATAATTTTTCGATTGCGCATTTTTTGGGAACCATTTGCAATATACTGTATACGCTAATAGTATTTTTTTAATGGTACCTCATAGTTAAATGATAAGGACCCACATCAACTAGTAATATGTGGAGATCTAGTCTAACCAATTTGTTCCTTTTAATTTAGCACTGTGTAAGTTAATGGATATAAACATTGTATGAGCTAAATGAATGACAAAATAAAAAAAAAACAGCTTACTATTCTTATCTCTGATTGTGTCTCACCATCCATCTGGTAGGTGGGGTCAGCCCTGCCAGAGGCCATTTGAAGCTGCATTCTCATTTGTGACATGAGCTCATTTAAACGTCCCTACAGAAATAGAGACAAAACACTATAAAATTTTAACAAAATGTTTAAAAATGTATCTACATAAGAAGTTTATAATTTACAAAACAAAAGATCAAATAGTCAAGAAAACAGTATGAACTTCTGTAAGAAATTGTTGAATTGAACATGGGGAAAACAAGAAATGCTTTCTCTTCCCCCCCCCCCCACTAAAAAAAGTACAATCTGTCACTTTACCTTAAACTGTGTTGGGTGGTTAAGTTCCACCTGTAATTGTTCCAGCTGAACTTTCAGAGTTTCTTCCTCTACTTGTATGGCATATCCCATTTTTCTATAAATTTCTTGTTTGACTATCACCTAAACCAAAGAAAAAGAAAACATGCTTTAATGTCAACTTCATAAAAAATAGCTATCTAGATTTACATGAGCACAGAATCATTTTGGGTCACTCGTAATTAAAGCTCTAACTTGAGTTATAAAGCAACATCAGCCCTAAAAATTACTTAACAGAAGAGATACTGGCATAAAATCTTTATTACTCTGCTTGCCGTTTACAAAAAGTGAAGAAGTATGGGGTGCTTTCAATAAAGAAGTGAAAAAATAATATAACCCTAAAATCGTATCACATTATCATTTAATAGTTTAACATAAATCAATTGGTTAGCGATAACGAGGTTTCTTAATTACTATTTTTTTTAAAGCAATAATATGATTTAATATTGCATTATAGTATATATATAAAGTATGTCATTGGTAAGCATTAAAACTAAATTTACCTTCAACAATCTATGACCAAGTTCTAAATCTTTACGTTTATAGTCTTCCATTTTAGACAGCATCGTACTGTGCTGAGTTTGCAAATCTGCCAGATCTGAAGCAATCACCTGTAATATTTTTTTAATGATTTAATGTACATTTTACTAATAAAACACAACTGATACATTTTTAAACACAACTGTATACACAATACCAACATCTTTTTTTAAAGAGTTGGAGTAATTAAACCAGACATTGAGTAAACACTAATCTAAATTAATTGTTAGATTTACAATACACCACCCACATCAAGCCTTTGCTGGTACAGCTTTGTTTGCTCTGCTTGGTGTTTTAACCTGCGCTGCAGCTCCTTGAATCCTATCATTGGAACAGGTATGTATCTCTCAGGGTCGGGGTTATCAAGCTTAGCTTGCTGCCACAGTAAAGGATCAACACCTAAACAATAAAGCACACAAATTGAACGAAACAGAATTTCAAAAAGTTTTAACTTTTAAAATTATAACAATGAACAGTATATACTGTTAATGATACATCTGCATAACGGTAATCCTGATTATGTATAATACAAATAAAATTAGAACCATTACAACACAGTAACAGTAATTTATTAAATTTTTATTTCTATATTTTTCAGAGTATTTAGAATATTTTATTTAGTATTTTAACCCAATACAATATGGAATTGTTCTTTAAAATAAAAGTTAGAATTGTAACTTAAAACAAAAAATAAATCTTTCTACATGAACGATGAAGTTAAGAGTTACCTGCCGGGGGTTTGTCTAAATACTCTTTCAGTTGTTCTTCTGTCCAGCCAACTTTAGGTAGCATATTCTCTACATTCAGTTGTGAAACTAGTTGACTCTTCAGTGTGGCCTGGTTTAAAGCGTTGAACAAATCACTAGCAAGCACTCTCTTGGCAGGGCCTGTGGCTGGCCTCTCAAGGATGTAGATAACTATCTCTGTTCTGATTAAAGAAAGAAGAAAGAAATCTTTAAACTAAAATAATTTTTTAAATACATTCCTTTTTAATACTCAACAAGGAAAGCTGAACATCTATATAATTTCTTAAAATATGTAGTTTCTAAAATCATATTATATTTAGTTTTATCAAAGTTCATGATGAGAAATTTAATATATTTTTGTGACTATTAAAGTTTAAGTGCAAACAAATATTTTTTTAAAACCGCATTAGTTTATAAACCACTGGATTAAAGTGTATACTTTTAATCCAACTATTAAATGTCTACAAATTATAACTGTACAGAACATAACTAACCTGTCCTCTGGGAGCGGCTTGATCCCTTCAACACAAACACTTAAAGTTGGTTTATTGCCTAAAATTCTCTGCAGGGTATCAACAATCTGCTGTTGGGCGGCTGTTACCTCTTCCTCTTTTCTCCCTAGTACCAATGCCAACTGTCCAAGGTCATTACTGCCTTTAGGAATTAGATGATAGCCCAAAGCCTAGAAGAAATGTGTAATTCATATATAACAACAAAAAAACATTTGCGTGAAAAAATTAAAAACTTCATGAGTTAATGTTCTAATAATATGTGACCCTACCCCTTTGCACCTAGACTAAGAGTATTAAGAGTTAGAGCAATAAATATGAAACAACTAGGATATTAATTTAAAGAGTATAATTATCTCTAATTGCTTATTCTTAGGTGGACAAAAAATGTAATGTGAAATTTTAAAACCTATAGCTTGACAGCATTTAAATTAGCTTTTGCTGTGCAAACTATCGTGCTTGTTATGAAGCTGCTAGAAATTATGGTAAATTAAAAATTTCTTCAAATCATATTTTGGAAAAAGCTAATAATAAAAATCATTCTGGATCATAGTTGTCCAAGTACTAACCAGTTTTCAACTTTAAAATTAGCATTAATTAACAATGCTTTGAGACTGATTAAAAAACTAAATATCAGCTATAAGTACTATAACAACTGAAAACATTGTGAGGAATCACATAAATGTAATGCTTAACCTGTAAATTTATCTTAGCGCAATAAAATATAAATCTTTCTATTTCATGTTAGTTTTTATCAAAATTAAGTATTTTAAAAAAATCAGTAGTGTATAAAAAGGATAAATAAACTTTTAGAATTCAGTTACCTTGAATCTACAAAAATGATTTTCAGGTTTAAATTCTACAACACCATTTGAAGAATAATATCCCTTGCCAACACCCCAGTATGCTTGCAGCTGATTCCACTTGGCAATGATAGCATCTCTTTCATCCCCAAAGATCTGGGGTAAAGAAACTGCCATAGCAACATTTGCCAAATTAGCTTCTTCCTGTTGTTGTGCTGTTTGATCTGTTGTGAAATATTAGAGAATTTTTATTTATTTTAAAAATGAAAAAAAAAAAATGTGGAGAAACTATCCTAAAAATGTTCAGCCATTCAGCAATAATTTTGCTTTAATTAAGAAAAAATGTATTTTAAAAAAAGTTTTTACCAGAGAAAATGGAAAAAAACTTACTAAACAAACCCCCTGTGGGAGCACCAAAAGCACCAGCACCACTGAAAGTTGAACCACCAGTTGTTCCACCAAAGGCAGCACCAGTTCCAAATGCTGATTGCCCTGGAGTACCAAAAGTTGATGTACCAGTCCCACCTAAAGTTGAGGCTCCACCAAAACCTCCAAAGCCTCCAGTAGATCCAAGACCAGCACCAAATCCTCCTGATCCTGTACCAAATCCTCCAAATCCTAGACATTTTTTTAAAAAAAAGTTTTGAAATGAAACCTAATATTAAAATTAGAGGATAACTGTAAACCATTTTACTGTCATTAATTGAACTGGTAAATTTTTAACATTTGATGAACTCAGACAACCAAACTATGCTGTTTGGTAAGTGGTGGTGAGTTTGGCTACTGGATAATAATTTTATTATTGATAGCCTAATAAAAATAAAACCTGACATATTCAGTAAATCACAAACCTGTTGTAGTTGATGTTGTTGGTGTGGTAAAAGAAAAGGGTGATGACGAGGTTGATGTCCCAAAACCACCAAACAATGATGAAGTTGTTGTAGGTGCTGTTCCAAATCCTCCAGCTGGATTTGTTCCAGTTCCAAATGTCCCTAAGCCTCCTGCACTTGCTCCAAAACCAGTTGATGCTCCAGCCGTGCCAAAACCAGTGGTTGCCCCAGCAGTTCCAAAACCAGTGGTTGCCCCAGCAGTTCCAAAGCCAGGTGTTGCTCCTGTAGTTCCGAAACCAGTTGATGCTCCAGTTCCAAAACCAGTTGATGCTCCTGTTCCAAAGCCTGTTGAGGTACCCGTTCCAAACCCAGCACTTGCACCGGTGCCAAAGCCAGTACTTGCTCCAGTACCAAAACCAGTACTAGCTCCTGTTCCAAAACCTGTGCTTGAACCTGCTCCGAAACCGGTAGATGATGTGCCCGTTCCACCGAAACCTCCAAACCCGGTTGAGGCTGAAGTCGTTGGTGTTCCGAAGAGCGTGGAGGTTGTTCCACCAAAAAAAGACATTTTCTAAAAAGAACTCATGCAAGTAGAGGAAATGTTAAACGTATTTTCTTTTGAAATTATTAGATCCAATAGATCTAAATCAAATCCAGATCTAGATCTAGATCAAATTGATCTAATCTAGTTGTGTCTACTTCACGTTTCGTTTTGGTGGGAGACACTGATGTTACTAATTACCGAAAAATTTATTTTTAAAAACATGAACTAGAGTTTAGGTTCTAGCCAAGTTCCTGCTTCTAGTTCTAGCCTAATTGGCTAATTCAATTAACTCACTCTTTGCATGAAATACAGCAGTAATTTTAATATCGGAATAACAATGTGTACAATACAAGATATAAAAACTACAAAACATTGCAAATATAAGAACTTTAAAAATTAAAAAGTGCATTCAGCCTAGTCTAGGCTTATTTATTTTAAATAAACCATGTTTATGTAACATTTAGTTACTTTTGTGGCTGAGGAAAAAATACTTAGAAATCTAAATAATAATACAGCATTTTTCAATATGTACGGCCATGCCAATATGCAATGACACACTTACAAAAAAAATAGTTACGCTTTTGAATATATTTTTTCTTCTTCTAGATTCTAAATAGATCTATGTTAAATTGTTGCGATTTAACTTTTTTCCCGATTGATGAATAAGGAAAATTGTTTAAAGAAACAGAATAAAAATAATTCCACTCAGTTATCCTTTCGGGTCTGACGATCAGTATGGCAGATGAAGTAGAGTTCGTCTGTTTTACAACCTCGGAATATGAAGGGGTAGAATGACCAGTTCTTTGCACAGCTGCCTTAATTTTTCCTAACTTGAATAGGATAAACATAAGAGCTCGTTGGACTCGGAAGTGATACTTGTGCCCTTTTTATTAGAGATTCGGGTTAAATAATGCCAATCTAAAGGGATAAAATTGACAAAAAAATTATATTTATGAATTTTTCATGTGTGATGTTTCAAAATTAATCTTTAAACATACGAAAATTACTTTAATTGGGTTTAATTACTATTCGTCAAATCGTTATTAATTTATTATAAAAGAAATTAATGTTTCCTACTAATAGTTTCGTTTTCGTATTTTAGATTGTACAGTTTTTGCGTCCATAACGACAATAATGGTAACAAAAATAGTTTTAATTTTTTTTTTAAACTCTGTAAGAAAATTATCAAGCTACATTTAATTTAGACTGAGTCTTTGATAAATTCAAAAGTCAGGGCTGTGCAGTGGTCCGGACTAGACTAAAATGACTAGATCTAGTTTTGTTTCATGATTCATGAATAAATTGAATTTCAATGATCAGAATCAGATTTAAGTAAAATTTCACAAGTCATTCACATTGTGATTGTCATTGATTTAATTTTAATAATTTTAAGTAGAATCTAGATCTATTATAATATATTTATTAATTAATATCATTTAAATTGATAATGTTTGATATTAGGCCTGTATAACTATAGGCCTAATTAATTAGGCCTAATTAATAAAATTATTAAATTAATATTGCCTAATTTTTAAAAACAAATAATTTAATTAGTACTAATTACTAATTAGGCCTAGTTAATTAAAAAAAATAATTATAATTAATATAATACTATAATAAATTAAGTTCCTGGGCATATTTATTTTTTTGGCAATTGTACTACTATATCTGATATCTACATTTCTGCAGGCATGAAATGAACCAGCTCAGAAAATCATAATGCCAGTCACAAAGCTTCCAGTGGTTCACAAGTTTGGAATTATTTCCAGCAGTCAAAGGGTTGAACTTCAAGAGAGACTACTGAAACAAACTCTTTTATCTAATACTGAGAATAAAAATGCTATTCAAACTCATAGGTAGATCTAGCTGATTTATTTTCTTAAATGATATGTTTATTTCAGTCAGAACAATTCAATAAAATTAAATAAAAGTAACATATGATGAAGCAATTGTAATTCGATAACAAAACTATTATGTATTTTTGTCTTTTAATAAAAAGGAATGTTGAATTAGATATGTTTTTCTTCTTCAAAAGAGTTTGTAATAATTTTCTTCCTTTTTGTTTCTTTAGAAATCCTTTGGAAGTTACAGAGGAATTTATTGAACTTTTCAATAGTGCAGAAAATTACCTGACAAAAGAAAAATATGAAGATCAAGCAAGAAAGTTATTAGAAAGATCCAAGGTCAGTTTGAAAATGATAAACATATTTATAGAAAGATAGTTAATTTTTGTACCTAGAATTTATAAAGTGAAAATTTTCAGTTGTGAAAACTTTTTCAATGATCAGTAGTTTTATAAATACAAGTTTACTTATCAGAGACGCTCTGGTCTTAAAAACTTTGGACGTGGGTCCCATGTTAACCTTCCACTAGCATGGACAGAGATGGCTCAACTATCTCAATGCAAGGGGAGAATACAAGAAGGTAATTAATGCTAAATTTGAATAATAATCTTGTATCATTTTCAAGAGTTTAAAATATTTATAAACTTAGTTTTTACACTGTAATAAAAAGTTTTAAAAAAAAAGAGAAGTCTTACATATTGTAGCCATTTTCTCAAACATAATTTTATTTATTTCCTTGTTTCTATATTTGCTCAAATTATACATGTTTTAGTCAGAGGCACATCTATAGGGAAGGGCAGGTGGTGCCTGAGTGCCTGACCCAGGGTGGTGCCAAATGGGGTAGAAAAAAATAAAAGGCTTTGTTCTGAGAGTTGCATTACTGTATTATACAGTCGATATTAAGAAAATAGGCTGCTGTATGGCTTTACAGACTTACTTAACCATTTCCTGCATCCGTTGTATGACACCAAAATAAAAAATTTTAAGGTATTGGTAAAAAGTGCCCCCTTACCTTTCCTAACAAGGGGGTTGGGTACACAAAATTGGGGTTAGGGGACACAAATTTGGGGTTATGGGAAAACAAAATTGAGTTTGTCCGGGATGCTAGTATGGGTTGCTTCACCTCTGGGTATAGTGTTCACAATTTTTAAATTAACAAGTAACATAAACAAATTCAAGTAAAAGAATAAAAATAATATTCCTTCTGATTATAATGATTATCAAAAGTCACTATAATCTACCTTCACTGTTTTTAAATACATGCTTAATTAGAAATTATTAAAAGTTTAGGTTTGTTTGTAAACAAAAAAAGTCATTTCCCAAATTCCTAGATTGTAATTTCTAAGTTTTAAAAATGCAGTGAAATGTATTCCTTTTTACTTAAATTTTTAAAAAAATCTTTTGATCATATATGTTTTACTTTTTAGAATGCTTAGATGTACTTGTGGTATCACTGGATGTATCACCTTTAGAAAAATACCACATCCCTGCTCTGTTTTTCCTTGCTGAGACAATGCTGTATTCACTGAGAACAGAATCTGTGCATGAGTCTTTTCTAAAAACAGTTGAAATTAAGCTGTTGAAGGTTTGAATTGCTATTGTTTTTTTTTATCTATTATGTCCATGTTTTAGGGGACTGCATGGTTAGAAAGTAGAGCTTACGACTGCTAACTTTGAAGTCTCAAGTTCAAATCCTGAGCTTGAGCATCTAGGACGTTCCTGATTCCACCCAGCTCTGATGGGTACCTGGCTCATGTTAGGGAAATTAAGGCAGCTGGGCATAGTGTTGACCAATCTATCCACCCCCCCCCCCCCCCCCCCCCTTAGGCCAAGATCATTGAAACATTTGAACTCTACTTCATCTGCCCCATGTCTTGGGGACATACAGGAAAATATAATGATGATGAAATCTTAAATTTGTGTAAACTCTTCTATACACAGTGTGTTTCAAAATTGCTTAAGACTATGCTTGACTACTGATTTGTTAGAAATGTTACTGTAAACTCACTAATTACAAGTATTATGGTGTTTTTTTTAATTAAAAGCTAATCTATAATAATTCATTTGTTTTAGATGGGAATGTTGGTATTTGAAAGGTTATTTTATCATCACATGGCTGGACAACTGCAAGGATATGTAGAATCTAAGAATCGACTGAATACTTACATACATGGTAGTAAAGTTAACATAAATTGCAATTTTATAAGAATAAACAAAGTATGTTAGTACTCATATAAAAATCATTCAAAAGTATATGGTCTATTCCAAAAAAGGAATACATTTTAAATGGTTTCTTTCTACAATTTTTTGTAATTTTAAAAATTTAAGGCTTTTTATAATGCTGGATATTAATATTATTTGACTATTTTAGAATACTTTTAATTAAAGTGTTAATTTTGCTTGCAGATACGAGTTTTAAAATTTGGTAACATAACCTTGCTTTAAATAAAGGCTGTTGTTATTTTCATCAGGACTGCAAGACATTCTAGGGCTTTACAGCCCATTCCCGAATGCACTGCTTTCCCTGCAGTTTATAATTGAAGTTGGGAAGATAATTTTAACTGAGCAACAGTCAAATTCAAGTAATGGGCAAAATGAAGGAAAATTAAAAGATGTACAAAAGCACAACATAAAGGCATTGAATTTGGTATGATACATTGTATTTTTAATTTATTGTTAATGTGATGCTGAGCTAAAACATTGTTTATTAAATTTATTGACTTAAACAGCTGCAGTTTTAATATTTCTAAAAAAAAAATTGTTTTTTAAACATTGATTTTTTTAAAAATTCCTTACAAAAAAAAGGTTTAAGTTTTTAAAAATAAAAAAAATCAATTCCAGTATGTATTAAGATAAATTTAGTATAAACTAACATATTGTGTATGATTTTTTAAATTACCTTTACTGGCTAGTATAATTTTGAAAATTAGATCATCGTTTTCTCAATAGGCAACAAAAGATTTGTATGAACGACAGAACCGTGACGACAGCCGGTCTGTTGGAAGTGGCGCCATAAGCAGCTCTGTGCATGATCTTAGCCCAACTTTATGGCATGCCCTGGATGTTTGGAGGTGCACCAGTGGCATTGGTGGTGGTTTAGCAGATGCTCTTAGAGCCTTAGCACACTGTGGGCTAGGCCTGGCAACTGAAACATGGTGTGTGCAATGGGAATTTGATCCAATATTTTTATTAACTTTTTTTTTCTGCAGCTTTTATAATTGACTGTGGTTGTGAATACATGAATAGACTAATAAGTTAGTCATGTTTATTTTTGTTTTAATTGGTCAATGCATCAAAGAATAAATAGGCCTACATCTATTTCAAATGTATGCTTTTTAACCATGATAATTAGTTATGCTTGGATTTTATGGTGAAAAATCTGTGAATACAGATTTATATGTGTATGAGTATACCCTCAATAACACAGATTAACACACATACAGTGTTTTAAAAAAATTTGAACAGGATTGATGGGGTTGTTGCCATTCAAATTCTTGGTGAAGCTGCCAAAAACAACATTGCTGTCCTCAAAGTCCTTCAACATCTAGCAAAAGGGGAGATTAATCCAGATTATCTATTTAGTCCCCCTTTAAGTGGAAGAAGCAGTTCAACTGGTGAGTTTTTTAAGAGTCTGTGTTGACATATTTCTTCTAGAATCCTTTTTGAAATTAGACAAATCTGAAGCATGAGACTGAGACTAACTTTATGAATTAAACATTTGTTAAATTAAATTTTAAATTTAAATTTTAGCCTTCCAACTTCATCATCTTCTTTCTGAGGGGGGGGGGGGGAGGGGTGAGAGAATCAGCCAACAATTAGTCAAGCAAGAAGTCCAAAGTCATTGTTTTTCTCCAACATAATTAACTATTGCATGTCAACATGCACCATATGACTTGTTGACTCTGCCTTCAGTCTGCTTTTCTTTCTAAATTTAATTCCATCGCCTTAGCTTATCTGAAAGGCAGTAGGTTGCTTGATTTCAGAGTTTTCTGAAAACTCCAAAGTCAAACAACTGCTGCCTTGTAGTTTGTTCTTGGATGGACAAAGGCTATGGAAGCAAATCCAAAACGAAAAGCAGGCTGAAATCTGAGTTGTTTGTTTACAGAGACCTCTAGCTCTTCACAAGACACCACAGAAACAGGAGAGGAGCACTCTTTTTCCATTATTAGTGAAGAGTTATCTAATTCTTCATTGAGTGATATTTTTGAAAGAAGTGAAGAGGAAGAAAAAAAGTCAGCTCATTCATTAGACTCGGATGATTTTCACAATTCACTAAATAAGGTAGAATATGCAATGGACACCAGCGAGTTGACGAGATTCCTTCCGTAATATTGTTGACATGGAATAAAAATGTGCTTTTTTAGATTTAGGACCATAAAACTAATAAAAGATAAAATTTTATTAAAAACTTAAGCCTAAAATTAATTCAGAAATGTAATATTTTTAGAATCAATGCTATACAAGTTGCAGATCCAGAGAACTTGAAAATAATTTGTTGAGTTTAAGGCTACATTTCTATTTATTTTCATCAAGCCTAAGTTATAACCCGATGTTTCACTTTCGTAAGACAAACATTGATTGGCTGTAAAGGAACTCCGTGATCGATTTCTGACAGCCCCACTTTATAGTTATTTTGTTTACAAAACTTTGCAGATCAAATTTTTAAATAACTATGCAAATTTAAACACCATGACCTATTGTTTCTATTTTTAGCTTACAATGTGTACAATAAAATTTATGTCGGCCATTGTTTATGTCGCCATTACACGTGAAAACCAAATTGTTTTTTCTTTTTTTTTAATTTTTATTTAGTTACCGAAAATATTAAAAACATCAAATACATCCAATCTTTAGTAAAGTCCGAAAAAAACCAGACAGACAGGATTTTATAACCATATTAATTGTAACTACGCCGTGCAAGATTTTAAAATGAATTTATACACCTCTCAAATACCTTTGAGACTTTTCTCGCTGGTGTCCATTAACATCTATCAAAATAAAATGTAAGTCCTATTTAAGTCAATAAAATCCTCAAATTATTATTTAACCTTATTATTTTATGTTTACTTTAACACAGTATATTTTTATTTGTTTTAATCAAACTACATTTTCTGAAACTTTAAAAGTAATTTATTTTTTTATTTTTTTAAAATTCACAATAATCTTGTACTATAATGTTTTCTAGTCTGAGTCAAGCAGTGAAACAACAAATGGAAATGCTGATATTTCTTCAAATAAAACTAAAGAAAAATTTAAAATTCACGGTACGAATTAGATTTTAGATGTAACATTTAATTTTAAAATAAATCTTAAAACTATGAATGATTTTTAATGCCTTATTGCTACTGTCATTAAAAATAATCTTAAAACTTTCTTTTACAACTTTTACAATATTTAATATTCCTGGTATATTAACACCCATGAAGCAACTAGAAAATGAAATGATCATCACAGAAATAATAAAAAGCATATAATTATTTTAGTTAATTAGCAGACCAGAAATATTTTTTTTTGTCTTACAGAAACACATTTACATAGTGGTGAAGTTCAACAGAACTCAAACAAACGAAACTCACAGGGCTCACAATTGAAGGATCAATCAAAGACAACACTGGATGGTTGCCATCTGACAAATATACCAGTAAATGTTCACAGTACCTAATTTAGTCAACATAGAAATGGCAAAGATGAACTTTAAATGACAAATATATATATATAAATATAAAATAAGACAAGTTTGAAGAACATAAAACATCCTTAAATTTTAAAAGTATTTTCAACTTGTACAATGCTATCATTTTTCTTAATTATTTCTTAGTTATTCCTTTAAAAAGTAAAGCCAATGCTCATATTTTTTTAAACAGATAAACACAGTGCCAGGCATAACAGGATGGCATTGGGAAGTAGCTGTAACATACACAGAGGTCCTGGCAAACATTGTGCTACATGGCAGTTCCTCTGTCATTCAAAAATTGGCTCTTGTTGGTGACAACAATGATGTGGAAACTCTCCTGCATCAAAGTCACAAAAGTTGTCTTGTTAAATCTATTCCAAGTGCTGGTCTTTTGGATTTTGTGTTTTTTAAACTTGACAATGCAATATCTGATGAAGGTTTGTTTCAATTTTTAATTAAGTGTTCAGATATTATGTCACTTAAATTTATTAAGATTTAAAAAATATTTAATTATCAAATCTAATATTATTGATAAAGAATTAACACAGCCATGCTCAAAACAACACATTATTTTATTTGAATAATCTCAGATAGGCATGAAGTAGATCCAACCAGGTTGGTATATATTGGAAGATGGGTAGCCAACTAAAAAATTAACTATCATAAATATGATTGTTATGGCAAAAAAAACTGAGGGTTTTTTTTTTGGGAACTAAATTGTTAAATTATGCCCTGATTTCAGAATGTCCGGAAATCTTAATTCCAGCAAAACCTCATAATTGAGCTAACATTTTTAATTAACGAGCATTACATCATTACATTGAGATGTTTTTTTTATGCAGGAGCTGAGGAGTTATGTTGGAAGGTGAGGTATGGAGCAATACAGGGGCTGGAAAAAATATGCAGAGGTCTAGCAGGTGATAAACTCAGAGAAGGGCTGCATTCAGCTGCGTGGAATTTTCTGCTGAAAGCAAATTCTCAAGAAAAAGATGTCAGAATTTTGGAAGCTCTAAAAATAGAGAAGGTATGTTTTCTTCAATTTAAAAAAAAATAAATATTATACGTTCATTTTTCAATATTATCCCATTCGTGCCCAAGATGAAGTAGAGGTCATCTGTTTCAATGACGTTGGCATATGAAGGGATAGTGTGGTCAGCAGGGACTTCCTGCAGTTATGAGTCTGAATTGAGAACCAAAACTCAAAACCGTCTGGCAAGCAGTCAAACACTCTACCTTTTGACCGGACGGTCCCCATTAGTCAATAAAAATGGGTTGTTTTTTTTGTTTTTTCTGTTGAAATACTATATTTACTATATTTAGATGTTATACTTGAAGAATTTATTTTCAGCTCTCCAATTAATCATGATCAAAGAAAAACTGATGTATTTTGAAATGTCCTTTTTTACATGTAATTTTCTTCTCATGCAGATTGAATTACCTAGTGTTAAGCAGCAAGACCCTATTGTTAGAGAACAATCTCCAACTGTTGGAATGAGAATAGCTTCAGGTTTATCCATGATTTATTTACCTCCCTTACCACCCCCACTGACTGCAACTCCAATTAGAAGAGCTACACCCAAGCAAGATAATTTAGTATTTGTGAAACATGCTAACAAGGAAGAAGAAAAGAAACCCAAAAGAACAACACTTAGGTGATGTTACATTTTTTTTTCAACTTCAAGTTATTTTCTTAGTAAAAAAATTTTTTTAAGTTGGTTTTCTATAAACGAATGTGTATTTGTGAAGATGTCTGCTTCTGAACTTAATAGTCTTAATGTATATGCCGACTAATTTGAAATTTTAGCTTCTTAATTATTTAAAAAATAAGAACCATGTATAATTTTTAAATTATTAGTTGTTTAATAGACTGATTAAAGGTACTGTAATAATTTAATAAATCTGTAGTTTGTAAATTATAATGTAGAATAAATGCTAACTATAGTTGTTTTCTGTTTTTAGACAAGAGATTGATTTAGCAACAGCACTCTATGAGAAAGCCCCAGATTATAATACAAGAAAAAGTTATGACCTGCGAAGAGTTGTAGAAGACCAGGTAATTGAAAGTTTTTTTTAGCTTTTTATTTATACAAAAACAACTTTTATAATTTTAAAAACTTATTTACATTTCGATGAGTGTTATGAACTGAGTTCTAAGAATACTTTTGTGTAGGCTAACTGATCATATCTTTTTGGCTCATTTTAAAAACTTTGAGTGCTTTAAATATATCTTACCTAGGTTGTTTCCACAACCATACTTTTAAAACTTGATACTCAATGATTTAGTAGCATAAGATCATGTTGGCTGATTCTCAATCTAAAAATATTTTTGAGATATTATCTGTATAATTTCTTTTTATCAGTGGAGAAAAGAATTGCAAGCAAAGCTGCAAGAAGAGGAACAAGAAAAACTTAAGATGCTGGCTGAAAAACAAAAGAATCTTGAAGAAAAACAAAAAGCTGATGCAAACCATGAAAAATCTTTGTAAAACTGATGGACGGTATATTACATTTTAGGTTATAGATTACAAATCTGATGTTATATGTAGTCAAAAGAATGAAAACTACTTGATTTATTTTGAACAAATATTTTTTAATGTATTTTAATGTCAGTTGATGTAAGTATTTTTAGAATAATTTGTATTGTTCTAGTTATTGAAAAAAAAATGTAAATGCTGTTTACTTTAAATCAGTAATGTCTACACAGTAAGCCAATGTAAGTATTTTTAGAATAATATGTATTGCTCCAGTTGTTGAAAAAAATGTAAATGCTGTTTACTTTAAATCAGTAATGTCTACACAGTAAGCCAATGTAAGTATTTTTAGAATAATTTGTATTGCTCTAATTGTTGAACAAAAATAATTAAAATGCTGTTTACTTTAAAGCAGTAATGTCTACACAGTAAGCCAATGTATTTTTAGAATAATTTGTATTGCTCTAGTTGTTGAACAAAAATAATTAAAATGCTGTTTACTTTAAAGCAATATGTCTACACAGTTGTTGGCATAGATATTCTGAAAGGCCAGCTACTTGATGTAATTTAACATTGTTAATTGTAATTGTTTGGTGTTTTTTTTTTATTATTTTATTTAGAATAATCTAAGGTTGAGCCTAAGAATTAAAATATGCAATCAACATATTTAATTTTTTTTTAAAGAAAAATAGATTTCTTTCTGTATTTTGTAAGATAAATAAAAAAAAAATATAGTGATATAGGCTTGTATATTGTATTATTTGATAATTCATGAGAATATCTTCACAAATTAAGTGTTTCTATATAGTTTAACCATTACTTTTGCAAAGTGAGATAAGGACAGGGTCAACAAGAGAGTGAGGGAGGGGGTGGGTCGGTGTACGTGGTGATGGTGTCCCACATGGTCCCACTAAGACAATTATATATATTGACTTTAATATATAGCCAAATAAAAAGGGCTGAAAATATATCATTGCCAGGGATTCATGCATGCCAAGTGGAGATCAGGATTGATGCTATCCTGATGCACCAGACTTTTAACAAGAGAATAAAAACAATTACATTTTTTATTTTTGTTTTGTTTTTTAATAAAATTTAATAATTCTGTACAAAAATTGTTCAGCTTGGTTCTGAAGCATTAATTTTTAAAATTAGGAACACCTTAAAAAATGTATTGACAGCATTAAAATGGGTAACAAAGTTTTGATTATTTCATGGGATTCAAAAAATAATAATTTTTCAAATAATGATAATAGATTCTATAAGAGGGAAAATCAGCTACCACCTGGGACAGATCTTTAAATTCAAGAAAACACCAAAAAGCATTTTCATTAAAAAAAACTTTACAATAGCACGACATTCTAGTGGCAAGACTCTAAAACAGGTAATGAGGCAAAGACCTAAGAGAATCTATTATGTTGCTCTTCAGACAGTAGGCAAAGTTTAGATTATCAACAACAAATTTTTTACTGCATGACTACACAGGTCTCCTCCCCACAATTAAATTATAAATACGATAAAGCCAGACAGCTCTGTAAAAAAAAAAAAATAATACAGCATACTTTTTAAAAATTAAATCACAAAACCATGTGATTTATTTAAAAAATGAGTTAGAAATAGCCAAGAAAAATTATGTACATCTTACCTATTAAAAAAAAACTTTCAACATTTGGGATTTAAGAATTCCCAGCTTGGATATAATAGAAACACTATTAGACGATGAACTATAATATCTATTCATGATCTAATAAGCCTACCTTTACTTAATTATCAACATAATTTACACAAAAATATATAAATATTTGCAAGGATGAACGAAGTAAAAAAAAAACTGCTAACATAATTCATATACTTATTTATACTTCAGTGTTGTCTAATCAGATGAAAAAAAAATAATTGACAACATTAATTTCATACTATTTTTCCTGATAAAGTTGGTGATACAGTTCCTATACGTGAATACAGGTAACAATAAAATATTTGTGATCTTGTTAATTAGTAACACTCACAATAATAAATTCTAAACAACATATTAACTTTTTTTCTTTGTAAAACAATTTTTAAGCATTCAGATTCAACAGATGATGTTAAACAAGAGCTTTGTGTTAACTAAAAAAAAAAGATAAACACCAAAACTCACCAATAAAAATAGATTTATGGAAATGTAATTGCAATCAAAAACTTTTTTTTAAATAACCAATTTGACAAACCAGCATTATAAAAAAAATACTTTAAAAAAAAAATCAAGCTCATGACAAAATATGTATATCAATCACAGTATCCAACTTAACACAACTCATACTTCATATTATTTGATGGTACTAAAAGGTTATCAAGTTGTCAACAGGAAAATAATTAAATGGTATAGAATTGGCTGTAGAATTAGGGACATTTAAAGAAAAATTGTTTGCCAAGCCTTCTGACACTAGTGATAGTATACAGACAGCACTCTGCAACTGGAAGGGCTTAAAATAACAAAATTGTACCAATGTATTAGCAAGAGTCAACAAAGTAACCCACATGATTCCACGTGGCAACAAATACTGTAGTAGTATGCTTGAGGAGCTTAATAGAGTTAGATCACAACTAAATGCAATAAGGCAAAACATAAAATTGCTACTCTGACACGTGTGGATTTTTACTATGACTATCTGATGACCTCTCATCCGATCTCTGGTCTCTCTCTCTGCTTCTGGACCTTCTCTGGGCCCCACTTTTCTTGTCCTCGCTTCTCTTGGGCCTCTCCGAACTTCTACTGCTCTCTTTATTACTTGTCTTAGCTTTCTCCTGACTTGCGCTTTCCGCTTTTCTGCTGCTTTCATTGTTCTTCTTTCTATCCTCACTCCTGCTCTTGTCCTTGCCAGATTCAACACTCTCACTCCTCTCCTTGCGCTTACCCTTATCGCTGCTTCTATCTTTACTTCTGCTGTCTGTACTTCTGCTCCTGCGCCTAGTTCTACTGTCCCTGCCTCTGCTATCACTCCTATTTCTGCTCCGGTCTCTGCTCCTATCTTTACTCCTGCTTCGACTTCTCTCACGGCTCCGGCTTCTGTCCTTACTACTACTCCTATGTCTACTCCGACTACGGCTATCACTCCGGCTTCTGCTATCACTGCTATGTTCATTACTTCTACTCCTCTGGCGGCTCCTATGATCACTCCTGCTGTTATCATCACTTCTATCTCGGCTTCTATGCCTGTGCCGGTCCTTCCTGTGTTTTCTAGCTTTTCTCGAGTTACCCATGTCGTTCCCAGGGTACATAGGCATGGGTGGAGGTGGCACTTGCAGAGGTTGGGCATATCTGCCTGTCATGTCTCTCATTTGATTGCCCATGCCCAAAAACTGGTTGTATTTTCTGAGATAGCTCTTGTTAAACACATGCAGTCCACCTCGGAAACCTGGGGGTGGGATTGGCATCCGCATGCCCCTTGGCCCTCCCCTCATCCCCATAGGGGGCATACCTCGAGGTCCTCTGCCTCTCATAGGAAAAGGTGGACGAAAATGCATGGGGAAAGGTGGAGGGAAAAGCATCGGATGCGGGGGGCCAGGTGGAAGGGGCATCATGCCACCTGGACCCATCGGTGGCATAGGACCCCTCCGAGGGCCGTGGTCATTGTCTCTGCCCTCTGACAAGCTTCTCTCTCGCCTGTCCTTGCTACGACTTCTGCTTCGGCTGCGTTCTCTGCTCACACTGCGCTCCTTCACATTGTTCCTGTTCCTGTCATTGTTCCTATTCCTGCCTCTGTTCCTCTCCCTCATGGCGCCTCTGCCTCTTCTTTGTTCAAATTTCATTCCCCTGTTGGGGCCGCCGTGCAAGGCACCTCTACCCCGACCCCTGAGATTTTCAGGTGGAGGGCTGTCAGCGCGATCACCGGGCTCCCTCCATGCTCGCATGCGATTGGCTTTCAGAACTTTCTCCATGACACTAGCACCTTTTATTCTGTGGAGGTCCAGTTAAACTAAATTAAAGCACCAACTTAATTAAACATATAACTTCAATAATACATGATTAGATTTTTTTATCAGGTGCTGCGACTAAATTTTATCTTAAGAAATATTCTAGTAATCCAATTAAACTTTTTAATTTTGTTGATTAAAAAAAGGAAATCTTCCCACTGCAGACCTTAAGATACTTTCCCCAAGAAGAGTCAGGTACCCATCAGAGGGGTGGTTACAGGAACGTCTTACAGCCCAAATTCTGGACCGATATCAAAACTCGAGACCTTTAGGCAAGAAGCCAACAGCTAACTTAGTCAAGTAATTTCCAAATGTTTTTTAAAATTTTACTTACCCACTCTTGGGTGCAACAGTTTCATTTTCATCTGATGAAGAAAACTCTGACGATGAAGATGAATGGTGTCGTTTCTTTTTAACGAGCTTAGAAGAAGACTGGGACTTTTTGCTGACTGCTGGTTTGGAGGATGTTTTCATAATAATTCTTTTGCTGGTTATCTGTTTGCTCTTAGTGTCACTGACATCACTTTCACCATCACTGTCTGAATCATCATCCTCATCATCTGTATCTTCATCGTCATCTGTGTCATCATCAGAGTCTCCCTTATCCCCTTCTCCCAATTTTTTCCCAATACTTTTCTTTTTCTTCATCATATTGTTAATTGCCTTCTTCATGATCACAGCACTTTTCAATTTCCTTGTTCCCGACAATTTTTTCCTGACATAAAAAAAAATTAATTTATGATGTTTGATTGTTTTTATACAGACCATATTTTATTTTTAAGTGGGAAATTTAAATTACATACTATGAAGAGACTATTACATATTTTTTTTAAATCACCAAAGATTAACAAACCCTGTCATGTTTTGCCAGTTGTGTTGTTAAAAGTTGTATTAAACTATACAAATTCATCGCCAAAGAACATTAGATATCTAAAAAGACTACCTCAGTTCCTCTCTTTGCTTTTCCTGCTGCTGTTCCTCTTTGGCCTTAAAATTCTTCAGTATTTTCTCACGAAGCTCCAATTCCTAAAAAAAAAAATTTAAAAAAAAAACGTAAAAAACATTAACTAGTTTTTATTTAATGGTTGGCTAGCTGAAAGTTCATAAACTTCCCAGCAATTTGATTAAACTTAGTCTCTCTAGAAAACTCCCTATAGACAAAAACAATGTATTACCTGTTGCACAAGCTTTTGTTTCTTGGCTTTTTTCTCCTCAGCTTTTCTCACATCATCCTCCAGCCTGCGACGCCTCTCTTCTTCAACTTGCTGTTTCCTTTCTTCCTCCAGCTCTTTTTCTTTCAGCTCCAAATACTTTTTCACTCTTATCGCCTGAAAGTTGAACAACTTATATAAAGTAAAGTTCCCTTTTCAAACCTGAAGGTCCATGTGGCAAGTGAAGTAGTTCACCTGTTTCTGTGACCTCTGCATATGAAAGGATAGTGTGGTCAGCACTACACCCAGCCGTCTTTACTTTCCCCATCAGATCTGGGTGGACTCAGGGACATTCTACTGACTTCAACCCCGGATTCGAACTCAAGACTTTTGAGTTAGCAATCTAGCACTCTACTGCTTGGCTGTCCCATTACACGCCATCCCATAACAACTTATATCATTATTACTACATGTCTAGAATTCATCAAAAGGAAACAAAAAAATTTTTATTGGCATGCAAATTTTGAACCTTAGGTTTATATTTACATGTAAATTTACTTTCATATTACCTTGATGCGTTCAAAGAGTTCTGACAGGAGTCTCAGAGATTCCAGTTTTCTTTGAGCTATTAAAAACCTTCGTTCCTCAAGCGCTATTTTGTACTGCATTCTTTCTTCTTCTTCCCTTTGCTTTTTCTCTATTTTCTTTCTCCGCCTCTTTTCCTCACGCTCTTTCCTTCTGTCTTCTTTTCTCTGAAGTTTTTCCTGTCGTTTTCTTTCCTTTTCACGCTCTTCTTCCTCTTTCTTTCGCCTAATAAATTTTAAAATCATTATATTGCTATTCAACTTTCTGTAGTAATTTTTTCATTACAATAAGAGAGTATGAATCTAGAAATTAAAACAAAATATAAAAATCTTGAATTTTCAAAGCATAAGTTTGTTTTTACCTCTCTTCCTCCTTCTTTCTCTCTTCATCTTCTCTTTCTCTCCTAGCCCTTTCAACCCTTTCTCTTTCTAAGGCCTCAAGCTTCTCCCTCTCTATTCTCCTTCTCCTGATATTTTTTTCAGACAGATGTTTAGTTTTGTCAAAGTCAACCTGCTCAGTGGGTATGTAAATACAAAATACAGAAAGCAGATATTGATAATATTATCTTAGAAAAGGATACACAAATATTGGTAAAATTATTAAAATAACACCAAAAAACTACAAACAAATCAATGTAATTACAGTAAGTAAAAAAAGACATGATGGTGTATATGACAGGAGAATTTTTTCACCTAAGCTTTTTTTAACATATAATTCGATTAGTTGATATTGAATATTCCACCTGCTGCAGTTTGAAACATAAAATTCACAAACATCAGTGGGTGAAAATAAAAAGCAGAATTGTTGACTACCTGATCCCAATATAACAAAAACAGTTGGTGAGCTGTACATGATCATGAAGTGAACTTCATTGCTCACTACGCCACACTAATTAAGTATCAAAAGGTATTGGAAGCAGGCATTGTTAATGAAACAGTAATGTAAACATAAAGTATTATTTTCAATGCTTAAAGTAGACATAGGTAAGTATTAAAGTTACAGAGCAGTCTACAATGTTAACTTTGCTACTAATTTAGTAAAATGTATGCAAATCTCTGTGGATTACAATTTAAGACTTTAAATTTTCATAAAATAAACATGTTGCATGGATAAAACTTCATTTCCTTAAAATTACTTCTAGGAATGTCAGCATCTGCTAGTGTATCTAACCTAACCTTAACTGTAACACAAATCCTTAACACTTATCCTGGCCCTAGTCCTGAACACAACTCTAATCCTGACCAGCAATACGTGCAGAAAGAAACTTTGATACATTATATTATCCAGAAAAAATACAGTAAAATACTATTACAATCAACCAAATGAAACAATCATACTTTTTCAAATGAAGGTAATAAGTAAGGCTACATTTTAAAATATGTATATACATTACCTTGATAACAGCTGTAAGGGCCTTGTCTTCACCTTTATACAAGAGCTTCATCCCTCTAAGTGAATCCATAGCTTTAACAAAGCTGATATAGTTCATGTACTGAATATAACACTCAAAGGTCAAATCTTGACCATATGAAAATGTCTGTATTGACCCTTTCTTTAAATTTGCACAAATCTGGAACATAGTATATGCTTTTTAAATTTTAATGTTTATAGACACATTTTTTTACAAATGTATAAACTTGATTGAAAATTAAAACAAATAAAATTGTATTAAAATGTTAATTGTTTTGATTGCTTGTAAAATTACAAGTCACTTAATCCTCATGACTGAAGCCCCAATAGTAGAAAATCAAGTTTAGAGGCAAGTTATTATTTTACTTACCTCTTTTCGATATGGGTCCAACATGGGAATGTCTAAACATCTTATCTCACCAAATGTTTGAAAGACTTTTCGCACAATGGCTTCACAAGGTTTCAGCTCTTTGTTATTTACATCTTTATCAGATAATTTAGCAGCAAACCATATAGTTGGTAAATCCTTTAAGTGAACAGTGTCAGGTCTCTCTCCTGGTCTCATTTCATTCATATTCTTCGCATCCCTAAAATATGAGTCCCAGTCGTGTCGAGATGGAAAATTAACTTTAGCCTCTGCAGCTCTAACCTACAAAAAGAAATGTTCGGAATCAACAAACACATTATTAGTAGTTATGAAGTGGCTAATATTTAAGTATTTTATACTTTTAAAGAACTGAAGTTATAAATTGTGCAAAACAATAATCATATTGTAATACTAATTATACTTGAACAAAACAAAATTACCTTGAGAATTTCAGTAAATCCACTAAGTTTTATTGTTTTCCCATCAAGCTTTAGGATTATGTTGTGTATCCTACTTTTGTTTTCTATCTCACCTTCCAGTCTTATGAACTCTAACGTACTTTTAAATATCTTAAGTGTCAAGAATACTTCTGGTCTAACCATGTGTTTAATCTAAACAAAGTTGGGAGATAAGATTTGTAATTAATTTATTTTATCAGCATTACATTCAACATGAATATTTAATATTGTGATTAATTATACTAGGCAATTTTTCTAAGCAAAACCTTAAATTTGAAACAATCAATTAAGGGGCCTAATTAAATTGCATGAATTGTGAAGTTTAGCATTAAATTATAAAAAGGACAAACCAAAATACATCTTAAAGTTAAAAAGAACAATGCATAATATTTAAGTTCAAGCTATGATAAGTCACGATTACAATATTAGTTCCCTGACTTTATTAGGTTGTCAGAAATTTTTTTTAAAAGTCTCAGCAAAAATTAAACCTGTTGCATAAAAATAAAAAAAAACAGATCAAAACATTTTATCTCACATAACCAACATTAATTTAAATTCAATAACTAACAAACCTTTTCCATTACTTCCCAGTTAGAAATTGTTTTCCCAGCAGTTTTGAGCTGAGGCAGCTGTACACATATGTTGATTTTGGCAACAGGTTTGAGATACAGACCCTGGGAATCATAAAGTTCCACTGCCTCTGATGTATCTGTACATATCGTAGTGTTGGCCATTTTGGTTCAACAACCAAAAGCTCAGACAGTATTTCCTGAAAATAAAGAGTAGGCCTATAGTTCAAAAGTAAAAATAAATATTAAAATAAGTTTGAATCTTATCCATTTTCTTTTAAATTAAATTAAATTGGCTGATTCTAGGAAATTCTAGGTCCTAGTAAAAAAAAAATAGAATATGGCTAATTACATTTTTTAAGTTACAGAGGGATATTCTACCTCTCCACTGGGATGGAGTGGCCTAGCAGTAAAGAACTAAGCTGCTAACCCGAAAGTCTCGAATTCGGATTCAGTAGACCATCTCTGAGTCCACCCAGCTCTGATTAGGGAAAGTAAAGGTGGCTGTGTATAGTGCTAATCCCACTTCACTAGGTCTATCTATTCAATTCTTATTCTGTTCCTTCATATGCAGAGGTCACAGAAACAGGTGAACTTTACTTCCCTAAGTTAGTAAGACGACTAAGTTGTCACTTGCCCCATTCATTGGCCATTGACCATCAGGTTTGGAAGGGGAACTTTATCTACTTCTCTAGTCTCTCCTTTAATAAATAGATCTAGAATTTAGACTAGATCTAGATCTACTCATTCTACTGCTCACTGAAAATTTCGAAGAAAGTAAATTAATAGGCCTAAAATAATGAAATATTTTTTTTTTAAATTAGCAAAACGGAAAAGACAAGAAAAAGAAGAGATAAAAAATGAAAAAGCTCCGACTTTTTAAAATCGGAATTTATTAAAAATGGAAATACAATAGGTCTAGATCTAAATATGAAAAACATACAAACCTTATCTATAGGTTATATATTTATACCATAAGCTGATTATTTTTTTCAGAATACGAACAAACGTTTGAAAAGGCCATTGCAGGACATAGGAATCTAGGCTATTTCACTCGCTTGTCTCTATAAAACCAAGAAAGATAACTTATGAATGAATATTGAAAACAATATTAGCTATCCACATCCGTTTCCTTTCACATCTAAAATATAGTATATTTATGTTAATAAAACAAAACAAAACAATTAAAATAATTTGAAAACTTTTTAAAAAGTAAAACTAAAGAACAACATAAACTACGAGCGTATATGGGGCCTATAATATATATATATATATATATATATATATATATATATATATATATATATATATATATATATATATATATAGGCCCTATATATAAACCTTAAGCTTATAATTACATTACTAGATCAATCATGCCTAGATCTATGTAGTTTTTGGTCAGCTTCTAAAATGATAGAAGAGAAATCACTGAAAAGTGAAATTTAGTGGCTTGTCCGTAAATAGCTTGAAGCTTTTTGACCGCTTTGACCCCTTCTTTCCTTACGTCGGCTTCTTTCTATTGATACAGCTTCACAATACGAGGGATGGTGGTTGCGACTTCAAGATGTGTCCGCATCGAGAGACACTATTTAGGGGGTGACACTACATTTTTTTAAATAGTAAAATTTACGGTCAAAACAATGTCTATCCAGTCAAAATAATAAAATAATAGGGAGAAACTAAATCGAAAATGTTAAATTGGCTAATAGGTGGGCAACACCTTCAGTCGATGCATCACCCGACTTAGTGACGCCACTGGATATAGGCTTTTGAGCTTGGAGGTGTGTAGAAGACTAATAATATGTTTCGCCGGCGATTCTAGATATAGTTATTTTGTTTAAGTCATATGCACTAAAAATATATCCTTATGTTTGACCAAATAGATTGTATTTGTGCAATACAGAAATACAATAAACAAGACAATTTTTGTGAGTGCTAAATTTACATTTGCAAGTTTCACAATCCACAACTTGATCGTCTCAGAGTTCAAAGGGTGAATCCTTACTGAGGCTAACCTTTACTAAATCATCGCACGTTTACAGAAGACCTATACATCAGGGAGATAACTTTTACATTTGTCATATTTCTGCCCAGTCAGTCGTCTTTTCATAGATAGAGAGAGTCAATGTGGCGATCCTATCAAATAGCCTACCGCTAAGCGCTGCCGCATGCATTGCTGATATCGTCAAGTCTTGTTAAATGTCCATTACGCTCAGAGTTTCTTCCAGGCATCTCTCCCCCCGGAGAAAAAAAGTCTGGAGGAAACAACTGATTACGCTATATGTGTCGATACAGGCAATATATGCATACATTAATCAGGACCAGAGTTTCTTCCAGGCATCTCTTCGGGGGGGGGGGGGGGGCGAAGCCCCCCCCCCCCCGAAAATTTTTTACCGCCCCCCCCCCCGAACGAAATGAAATTTATATAATTTATATAGAAAATATATACTTTTAACAGTGTCCGCCCCCCCCCCCCCGAAGAAAGTTTACCGCCCCCCGAAGATTTCAAGTGCCCCCCCCCCCCCGGAGAAAAAAGTCTGGAAGAAACACTGATCAGGACCTATACGGTCTTCCTCCATTGTTAGTTTCTGTGCCCCCAGCATATGAAGGGATAGTGTGGTCAGTACTAGGCCCAGCCGCTTTCCCTATCGTGTAGGTACCCATCAGAGGTGGGTGGACTCACCAGAGACGTTCTACCAACTTGAACTCGGATTTAAACACGAGACCTTCGGGTTAGCAGTCTATCACACTACCTCTAGCCCCCGCTTTCCTATCAGATAAACATATATAGGGCCTAAATTTGTTCTACATATAATATATATTAAAAACATATAGGGGTGACACCAAGGCAAAAAATACCAAAATATATAGAGAAAAACTTGAGGGGGGGGGGGGTGCAAATCGAAAGTTCGAGGTGGGGGGGGGGGGGGTTCAAATCGAAAGTTTGAGGAGGGGTGCAAATAGAAAATTTGAAAGTTTGTCCCCGGGAAGGGTCGCTACGCCTCTGGGGGGGTGACGCCATTAAGTGCCGCACCGGGTGACACCCGACCTCGCTACGCCACTGGGTCTATGACAACGAAGAAAGCAGGAACTGTATGCTCTACACTCCTATACTATTGTTTAAGTCATTTCCACTGAAGTAGCCTGTGTATTCTCATTAGCCTATGCTTCCAATCAATGGGAAAAGAATGTTACACCGACCAGGAGTAGCACACTAGCTAGTTTATCAAAGATATTACTATACAGCATTTCCAAATATTTTAGATTTGCACAGTGGTCATCAATTATCCTCTCGGGGGGGGGGGGTCTAACCGTTAAAACTGCCATTGATGACTACAATAGGCCTAAACAATTTAAAACAAAAAGCTTTTCTCCATTTTTAGGTGACTTAATTAAGACATTTTTCAAAATTATTGAATCAGCTGATTTAATAGTTAATAGTGCTCATAATCGTGGAAAACTCAAAAAAAAAATAATCTCCAAACAAAGGACAACATTAATTAATTAATTGTTTTTTTTTATAGCTCAGGAAGTAGGTGTATCATTAGCGAGCTCTTTTGCGTTTAATTTTCTTAGTGCTGGAAGCAAGCGATTTGTCAACACATGTAAAAGTTTTATTTAACTGTATTCTCCAGTTAAAAATTGGAGAATTTAAATGAAATGAGCATGGCTACTGTATTCTCAAATGTTGAAGCTGACATAGCGGATGATTTAATTACTAAATTCCCTCAAGAGTTTGATTTTGATTCCATGTTACGAAAGGTTTGTGAGGATGCTGGCGTCGCGATTGACCCGACAATGAACAAACCCAAAAATGGGGAAGATATGTCTATTGTTTTAGACAAACCAGCCAAATACCGTTTAAAGGTAACCATTTTAAAAAATCTTTTGTAATTAAATCTGAAATATAGGTTCATAAGACAATTTTAAACATTTTTTCTTTTAAAAACTAAATCTGAAATGAAAAATAAAAATTTCTACTTGAACCTGCTTTACCGTTGAGGTCAAATGGACTAACCCGTTGTACTGTAAACGCGAAAATAAAATGGCGTAGCTGACAGTACAATTAAGAAATGATTTGCTTATAGTAGGAATATAAGTAAACTTAAAATGAAAGTTCCAAATAGCACGATTTTCATAAATGTAACAATTACTATGCAATTCAGTAACTAAAATATCATTTAATCCCATCAAAGGAAGAAAACTGATGTTTCTATTCTTAGCCATTGTTGACCCTTAGCTTGTGGCTTATGTCTATGTCCCTCCCCTCCTCCAACAATGCACATGACTTCACTAAAACAAAATTATAGACAAAATTAATTATTAACTTTAAGTAAGCAAACATTTAGATAAAAGTAATAACATGAAATCCAAACAACACAATAAAAACATGGTAGGCATTCTAAAACATGATTTTAACAAAATAGGGCAGTAATTCTTATTTTAAGACTTTTATCATTAGGCCTAAGTGTAGGCCCTATTCCATACACACTAAAGTAGTAACACACAACTTAGATGTTTTATTAGATAAACATTAATCATTATTTATATTATCTATTAAAATTTATTAAATAATTATGAAAAGAAGTGGAAAGTTAATGGGCCCCTAGGCTTAGGCTTATAAATATATATTTTTTAAAAACTATTTTGTTTCTTACTAAGTAGGGCATAGAGGCTATATATAGTTAACTTGGTGCAAGGATAAACAAATAATGAGATATAGCTAAATAGATTACTGATAAGCTATAAATTGTTATAAAATTTAATGGGGGCAATCATTTCACGCTTTACTCTTAATAGATATTCAGCTATGTTGATCCAATAAAGTGTGTTAGCAAATAAATGTCTTTTTAATTTTATCCAGGTACAAATTGAAATACAATTTATGATAAACTTAGTGAATGTAATAATATAATAAACATAATTAATTTATTCATTATTCATTTTATAAATGGTTAAAAATTAAAGTTTATTGTTATTGTTTTTTATAGTAAGCTTAATAGTAACTGGTTATATTAAAACAATTGATGGCTCCTAAAAATAAACTTTCTTATTTATAAAATTAGATGAATTCCATATCTATACACTTTCCTGTCTTAATTTTTTTCAACATAAAACTTTGTTGCATTATTTCTTTTAGGGATTGTGGTTTTCAATGGAGAAGGCTTACAAGCACCTTGTCACAACACTAGCACTCTATGGAACACGGTTGCCCGAGGCCTTTTCAGAACAAGATGCTTCAGACTTTAATCATCATCATGATATAGAGGATATGGAAGACATGCATGATGATGAAAATGACAAAGATTATAATCCTAAGATGCGCAACATTATTCAAGGCATAATAGAAGACAATAAGAGACAAAGAAGGCCACGAAAGTCTGCACGTCAAAGTAGAAGGGTTGTTGGAGATTTAGCTGATCTTAGTTTTGATGAGGAGGACTTCAATGAGAATAACATAAAGTCTGATATGGATCAAAGTGCAGAGGATCCAAGTGACAATGAAGATGATGCTGGTGACGAGGAAAATAGAACAGACAATTTACAAGAAACCAATAATGATGAAAATAGTTTGGAACTGAAAGAAGAAGTGAAACCTCGAAAAAGAGGTAGGCCTAGAAAGAACACATCACCTTTTCATCTAACATCAAAAAGTAAATTGGGGAAAAAGCGAGGCCCTTATAAGAAAAGTACCAATAATGTTAGCGAGGTTGTTCCCCCTGTTTCTACTGAAGACCCAGATGATGCTTTGCCTGCTCGCAGACGAGGACGCCCAAAAATTTACAACGATGAAGGGAAAACAGATTTCCCGTGTTCAGAGTGTAGTTTTGTTGCAAAGAAACGTGCCAAGTTAAGGAGTCACAAGCTACGTATGCACCTTGCCTCTCCAACAATGTGTGACGTCTGCAAGAAAATTTTCCCCAATAAAAGATACATGCTAAGACACAGGGCCTCCCACGTTGCTCCACAGCATTGCTGTGATGTATGTGGTAAAATGTACAAGATACGCAAAGCCATGCTAGAACATCGAAAAACTCACGACAATAATTTTAAGAAGACAAAAGTAAAATGTGAGATGTGTCCTAAATCGTTTTGTAATAGGTATATTCTTGAGTGTCACATTAGAGATATTCATATGGGACAGAAAAAAAGCTATTTGTGTTCTACCTGTGGGAAGAGCTTTACAACTAAACATTCATTGGCAGAACACACCAATGCCCATACTGGTGTTAAGCCTCATATATGTGAACATTGTGGAAAGTCATTCTCATACGAGTCTGCTCTCAGGGATCATAGATACACACATACAGATGCTAAACATTTCTGGTGCACGCATTGCCAGAAAGGGTTCAGTCAACGCTCAGGTCTTAAGATGCATATGCGCATTCACAGACAGCATAAAATGTTTATATGTACTGAATGTGGCAGAGGTTTTACACAAAAACAAGCTCTTCAGCGCCATGAGAGGGTTCATAAAGGGGAAAAACCTTTTATCTGTAAACACTGTGGGCGCTTCTTTACAGATGCTTCTATTATAAGAAGACATCTTATTCTGGTACATAAAATTCACAAGGATGCTAATCACTGGAGAGAAGACATTGTCTGCATTGTGAAACCTCAAAACGAGTATCAAGTGCAAAAAATCGGTGAAGAAAACAGCTTGTCAGAAGCAGAGAAAGAAAAAGACGAACTTCTTAAAACCGTTGGGCCTCCGTCACGCACCAACAACAAAGGTCCGAGCAGAGCTTTTTGTAGAACTTACCCACGGCGGGTGGCTCTTTTAGATGAAGCTGGGAATGTTATTGCTCCTCCGGAGCTTCCACCCAGGCCAGTATTGCAGCAGTCTAAAAGCAATGAGTCAGGCTCCACCAACAGCTGCTCAAAGACGCAGACAAATTCTGAGCCTAATAACACTGCGCTGATCCTGGCGACAGAGAACAGCTCTGATTTGGATTCCAACAACCAGGTTATCCAACAAAGGTTTGTCGAGGGCACACAGTGGGATGTGTTAGCTGGGCAGATTGGAAGAGGGGGCGCGACACACATGGACCACATGATGTTAGACGACTCAGCCCAGCACGAGATACAGAGAGGTATTGAGCACGTTCAGGGTATCCACAAGATTATTAAATTTGAAAATATACAACCCACGGTTGTTCAGGCACCGAGTCATAACTTATTAACCCATTCCCAGTCCAGTCAGAGTCCCAGCACCAGCCCCATATCATTTTCTACCCAGCCTGTTGCACACGGCAGGGTTCTGGAAAGTTCTTTTGAAAACCTCAACCCCCAGGTGGCTCACACGGGAAGTCAGTATTACGACGGTCGCACCACCGGCCACTCCAGCACCTCGTGGTCTTCAATGTTTTATTACTCTCAACTAGCCAGTCAGTTTGGGATGAGCATTAACCCCGAGTACCCTTACGTGGCGGGGAACACCTCCAGCAGCCCAACCACCACGCAGCTGGGTCAGTACCAGACAACCACCCACCAGGCTAACCCCACCATCCACATCCTCCACTCCCAGACCCAGATCCCGCACATTGAGAGCCCCAAGCTGGACGAGCACCGGAACCAACCCAACAACTCTGGCCAGTCTGGTTTGACTAACTCCCTCCACCACAGCTCTCAGGACCTGGGTAGACATGTGACGTCTGGCATGAAACTGTCCTCTAACGACACCCTTCATCAGGCGGATATCATGCTCCAGCAGGAAATACAAAACAGCCCCAGCCATATGAACACTACGGATGCCCAACATGTATCCAACCTGGTACACATAACATCAAACCTGTCTGACCCACAGAATATGCTCATACGCCATGTAAATGATAGCAGACAGTCGTCCCCAAACATTCCACTACGAAACCCAGCACTTCTCAACATTAAACACAAGTAACGTTCCTAAAGTCCATACAGTTTTTACACACAATCTAGCACTCCCCTACCTACAGCACATATAATGTTCCTATAGTCCATATCATATTATTATATTACCAAAAATGCCTTTTGCATCTTGTATATAAATATATTCAAGATATTTGTAAATATAACCAAAATGAAAACAGTTGTATTTGTATAGTTAAGTAACTAATGTATATCAAATGTGATTTTTGTCTTATTCAACTACTTGCTATGTTGCCTTAACTATTACTTAAAGGTTTAAAAAAAATTGTTCCATTCGTCTAAGTCAAATATTTTCATATACACAAAAGTCAATGAAAATATTGTTAATGTACCAGTACAGAGAAGTACAGTAACATTAAAAATGATATTACTTTAGTTGCATTCTATTATAATTTGCTAATCTTCGTTTGAGTAAGATTTGTAGATTTTATATAGTTCACTTATGTTGCATTTGTATTTTGCTTTTGAAAGATTATGATAGAGGTATATATATATTTATAACTATGTATGTTATTTGCACCAATCGCTATTGAACTTAAAAAGGCCCAACAGAACCATCCAGGATATACTTTATATTATATTAGTTGAAAAATATACAAAAGCTATTTTTTAATATGCATGAATTTATTTCTTACATATTGGTTTGGTTAATATTTTTACACTTGACTATAAATATAAAATATTACATAGAAACAATGAAATGGATACATTTACAGTAAGCTAGTGAATGGGTCAAGTGAAAGGAAAATATAAATATGTATATAATATGATATGTATATGAGTGGTAGGTAATCATTATATTACAAGAAATATAATTTTACTTTAACTTATAGGCAAAAGACTATTTTAGTGGTTTATGATTTTAAGCTTGATGACCAGTTGTTTGTTTTTTCATTTGAATTATGCTGTGTTCATAACTTTTTATTAATCTTATTGAAATTGGCTAGCTATTGCTTCAATACCAGTGGAAAATAGTTTTTTTTTCTCAGGGATCAAATATTTTGTGTTATCTTTTTTCCAGATTGTTGTAGAAAATGCTATCTAGATGATTCTCAGCAAAAATTAGATAACAAAACAAAATATATATATATATAGTTAGTGTTAAGAATACCTTCCAAATACTTATTTAGGTTGTTTTTTTAAATATATATGAAATCTTGAAGCAGATTCATTTTTCAATCATAATATTTTGTAAGTTCATCAACAAAGTATGTTTTAACATTATGAATGAGAATATCTCAGCTTTATTGCCATTACAAATCAGATAATTTTTAATGAATTATGCTTTTTTTTGTAATATCTAATGACAACATTAAGTTGAAATAGTAAAACTTCTGTCAAATATGTTACAGGGCAGTTAGAACACTTCATGTGTTCAATTAAATTATTAGCTTTATTTACTACCAAGTAGTGCATAATGTTTTTACTTTCTCGTATATACGAAGTATAGAGAAAGTCTTGTAATCGTGCAAAAAAAAAAATCGAGATTTTTGCAAATCTCGACGTTTTGCATCTCACTGATACGGAAAAACATAATTTTGCAATCTTGTCCGTATGTCTGTGTGTGTGTGTGTGTGTGTGTGTCCGTGTGTAAACACGATAACTTGAGTACCGTTACAGCTAGGTTGATGAAATTTCATATATAAGTATTTAATCAAAATCGTAGATCCGTATCAACTTTTGAGCGATTTCCGATAACCGGAAGTGGTACTTTTCCTACTTTGAATTTTTCAAAAGCCTATAACTTGAGTACTATTTCAGATAGATAAATGAAATTTCATACGTAAGTAAAAGATCTAATTCTCTAACTTCTATTAAATTTTGAGTCATTTCCGTTGACTGGAAGTAGTACTTTACGCTACTTCCGATTTCTCAAAAAACTAATGTAAATTTTAAAAGTAATAATAATATTGCGCACTATTATGCGCTTTTTTATTTGGCGTTCACTTGGTGTGCAATTAATTTGTCTACGAGATTTTATTCTATTTTTAAAACTTTAAGTATTTAAAATGGATTAAAAATCATGTCTATAGCCCGAGTTTCCATCCCCTGTTATTTTATATAAGAATATTCGAGAAAGCTTAGGGGAGATCACTCCCGGTTTATTTTTTTTAATTGTTTATATTCTGGTATAGCTTTTATTGTTTAAATTGTTGATTACGCAATTTGGTGTTCAGTGAATTATACATTTTGATTACAAGTATAATATAATAATTGTTCCTCAAAGTTAAAAATTTTTTTTGTATTCTGTGTCCAGTACTGTTAGGATTGTACTTTTGACAACATGGACTTGTTCTTCTCAACAATTCAATGTGTTACCCATACATCATCTCACAAATTTGCCGATGCAGATATTGTTACTATACAATGTTCAAAGTATTATTCCTTCTTCTATACACAAAGACATTGTTGCACTGATTACAAATTTCTTATGTTCCACTTCTGTTGTAAAGAAGAGGATTTAGAAAAAAATATTTCATGTGATGTACTCAATGTACTTTTTTTATTGTTATTTTTCGCAAGTCAAGCTGAATGTTTAGAACCATAGTGAATTTCTTTGTGATTTCATAGAATACTTGGTTTAAATTTATGAATGAACAGAGGACATATGTAAACATTTTATCCACACAAACTGGACATCAGGGGTTGAGGGAAGGGTTATAAAAAGTATTAAGTACTTAATTATTTGTAATGAAACACAATAGTATTTTTGGCAGAATTTATATATAAGATAAATAATTTCTGCGTGGGTTAGTGTGAATTCTATTTCTATGCAATGAAATTTTACCAATACTGTGTATATTAATGTTAAAAATTTAAAGCATTTTGTCCTTTGTAATAAAATTAATTTTAACATTAATAATAATTATGTTTTAACTATTGTGAATGCACACGTTTTAACATGAACATATTTTTTAACGTTTCATGTTGTATTTTAAAGAAAATCTACTTTTATGAACGTTTCCAACTCACAATTTTCATTTTTTCAAAAAACAAGTACAATTTGTATGTAAATTGTACATGATTGTTACCCAGGTAACACTTGCACAAAGAAGCATTGTTTTGTTATCCTCACATTCTTAATGGTCTTCATTGAAACACTATTATTGTTCATGTTATTATATAATGGAAACATTTAAAACAATACATGCAATAAACTGTTTGTTCCAAGTTTGTTGTTTTTTTAAATATGATTCATAGCTTGTTAAAAACTATAGATCTATATATATTCTTAAACAAAGTCCAGGTGGCTTTAATATTGATATAAGCTATAATTATTATATATATCCTATATCAATATGAAAGCCACCGGACTTTGTTTAAGTGTAACCAGAGAGGGGTGGGGGGGGGGGTAAGAAAGTCTGAAGCATGCAGTTGCATTTGAAAATTGTAAATTGAATTATTTCTTAACATTTGCTAAAAGTCTCAGATAATTTTCTCGGCTAAATCGTTCTAGTTTGGTGATAGTAACTGATAGGCCCTAACGGAAATGAAACAACAAATCGGGGGGGGGGGGGGGGGGGGGATATTTTATGGCGTTGGAGTTTACCTGGAAAAAAAAAAGGGGGGGGGGGGGGGTTAAACCCGTGGTCTGCAGGATCGGGCAAGTTGATGCATGATACAGCTATAAGTATAAATTATAATCTGAAAATTTAAATAACGTTTAAAACTAGTGTAGAGATCCTCACCTGAAATTACAGTGGCAAAAAGAAAGCTATTAACACAATTATTTTGTTCATCATCAACGTTCAAGTAAATAGAATTCGAATTTTCAAAGTGAATTTTTTTTTGAGTTTCTTTTATTTTGATAAGTAAAAACACATTGTTTTAAATCACTTTTTCTCCCTCCTCTTTTGGCTTATCTGTTGGTTATTTGTTATACACTCTATTTGTTTTCTTCAGTCTGATACTTTATGAGAAAATCTGTCAAAAATTGTGGGGCATGTAGATACACTGTGTGGGGTGACCTCTTGTCCCAATGAAAATTTGCGGGCATTATTTGTTTTTAAAATTTGAATAATTGTTTTTTTAATTTGATATTTCCGCGCTGATGCGGTCTGCGCAGTGATGTTCCTGTTCGTAGGACAACCCCGCGAAATTTTACCAAAAGATAATAGATGACATAATAGACCTAGGCATCACCGCGAGACTTGATCAAACTGTGGTGACCTTTAGCCCCAGGCCTAGAGTTTCTTCCAGGCATCTCTTCGGGTAGAGCCCCCTTCTCCGAACGCAACGGAATTTATAAAGAAAACATACATTTACCAATGTGCCCCCCCCCCCCCCCCGAGAAAAAAGTCTGGAAGTGGAAGAAACAGAGTTTCTTCCAGGCATCTCTTCGGGAGGGGGGGGGGGGGGCGTGGGGAGAGCCCCCCCCCCCCCCCCGAACGAGATGGAATTTATATAGTAAAAATATACTTGAAGAGCCTAGTGCTAAAAGTACTTAAGTCACATTTTTGTGAAAATCAAACCAAGCATTGATTGTTATTTCTCTAGTTTAACTTTATCTTATAAACAAATAGTAATACTACAGAATTTATTTATGTTGCTCCTCCAAACAAACAAATACTATAAAAACGTAATGTTTTATAGTACTAGTGTCCGCCCCCCCCCCCCCCGGAAAATGTTGACCCCCCCCCCCTCGAAAATATCAGGTGCGCCCCCCCCCCCCCCCCCCCGGAGAAAAAAGCCTGTAAGAAACATTGTATATGTCACCAAGGCTATGAAAATAAAAGCATGAGCCGTAGTCATCAACCTAATTAATTACAGGTCGTTAAAACCACTCAAGTTTTAAAATGAATTTAAAAAAAAAAAACAACTAGGCTACATCTGTAATTTTATTTTCGCATTGTTTCATTTTTTTTTCTCATTTGCTTTGTCAACACTCGGGTATTCCCAATGTAGCATGGGACTTCCCGTTATTTTATCATTGCTGTTCGAACGCAGGTCTGGGCATACACTACACCTCGCGATAACGTATTTCAGAATAGATATAGATCTTTGATAATTATCTTAACCTTCACTGCCTGAAGTTGAGTGGATGTGTTGTTTTCCTAAATGGTAAACGCGGTACACGGTGTGGTAAACCCACTAGGCCTATAAATAGGTGTCAGTGTAGGCCATTGTTTACGACACCTCTTGTTCGGTCTAACCGTCCGTTAGCGACGGTGTTATACTCAAGGTGTCATTAAAAATATTTTCTTAAACAATGCATGGAAGTTTAAACTTTGGAGACACGTTTTAGAATCTAGAATATAAATATACAATAATACTAATCATACTATGGGTCTGCGAAAATGAAATAAAAATTTCTGGATAATAAAACCGGGCCACATTTATTTGGGTGATAAACTGTAAAGCTTGACCCAGTTAATTTATGAGAACGCTTTAGTTTAGGCTAGTTGTCATTGTGGTTCGCCGTCTTCAACAACTGTGCTGCTGTCGCGTTACTGTCAGCTATGGCGGTGGCCTTGTTCATAGTCGCCATTGTAATCTACCTGCTGGTAAGATGTTTTTTTTTTTCTTTTCTTTTAAAAGAGTAATTGGTGTTAAGTTATTTACTACAAGGAATAAATAATTAATGAAATGTAGACCTATTGTTAGCTATTAGGGTTAAAAGTAGGGCCTACTGTTTGTGGGCGTAGGCAGGTTTTCGTCAAGGAGATGGGGAGGGTAAAAAACGCCATATGTATACATACATGCATATATACATATACACACGATAAAGAACTATATATATATACTATGACCTGGGGGGGGGAGTGAAATGCGAGCAGTGTTTCTTTCAGACTTTTTTTCTCCGGGGATGGGCACTCGATATTTTCGGGGGGGGGGGGGGGCTAAAAAATTTGGGGGGGGGGGGGGTGGCAGACACTGTTAAAAGTAGCCTATATATTTTCTATATAAATTCCATTTCGTTCGGGGGGCGGTAGACTTTCTCCGAAGAGATGCCTAGAAGAAACTCTGAATGCGAGTGAAGATTCATCCCGTTGCAGGAATGGGACACAAAACACAAACCTGTGGTTGAACTAAACTCTAAGCCGTAATCTAAGCACACGACCTTTAATCTAGACAAGTACCAACATTAGATCGATATTACAAAATATGAAAAAAATGCAGTCACGTCTGATGAATATGATTTTTTTTTCTTTTACAGTATAGAGCATTAAAGTGGTTTTGGTTAACATATGTAGCTTCTGAAGAAACAAATCAGGTAAATATTGCACTCAATTTTCATTATTATGTGAATACCACATTGAACCTTTTACGCACACGCACGCACGCATACGCACACGCACACACACCCGCACACCTGCACACACTCACATACCCACACACACTCGCACACACACCCGCTAGGGAAAGTAAAGTCGGCTGGGCATAGTACTGACCACATCATTAATTTCTTCATATGCCGAGGTCACTGACTTCTTGGTCCGCCAGTTACGAAAAGGTAACTTCCCTTTGTGAATACCACATCATATTTTTTACAAAATAATTGCCTTAAATACTTCCACAACTATTTCAGCGTTACGGAAATTCGGGCGCCGTTATCGTACAGGAGAACGCAGCGTAAGTATGCCTATAGTATACCTATAGCTCTGCACGGGTTAATGTAATAAGATGTGTTTTCTTGAGATGAATTGTTGAAACACGGGGTAATCTAGGTTTGGTTCAAACATGATCGGCATCGGTGCTCGGTTAGGGGGGGGGGGGGATTTAGACACTTGAAATACAAGATAGTCTATGGTTTATGACTAGAAATAATCAACACTAGTGTTTGTTTGGGATGATTTAGACTTAGGTGGTCATCCATAACTGACATCATGGTATTTTGAAGCGTGTTTATTTTTTTAAGCCCCTCTCCATCTGCACGTATCGTCACAGAAAAGACAGACCCCATCCATAAAATGACGTCAAACCTCAGCCTACAACCCCTCTCAAAAATTGCAGTTGTATTTTTTAACATCGTTTTTTTTTTTTTTAATATTTTCCGAGCCCATACAACGTTGAGTATATTAATAAATTTCGATTACAATTAACACAAATAGCTTTATAAAATTTGAAATAACGGATGAAATGCAGTTTTTAACATTACCTCTTTTATAATGCAAAATGCAAACTTCGTCAAACATCGTGACAAAATGTTAAAATTTTGCACCCCCCCCCCCACCGGGTGGCGTAGCTAGGGGAGGGCGGGTGGGGCGGCCTCCCCGGATATTAAATTATACACAAAGTTAAGAAATTAAAAAGCTACATGGCTTTACACACCGATTTAAATATTTTCTACTTCAATGGTGTGCCACAACAATAAAAGAACCTTTACGGGATGAATAGTGACTGGTAAAAAGCGCCACCAACCTTTCCAACTAAGAGGGTGGGTTGGAGCGCTTTTCCCAACTTGAATAACTATATATATATATATATATATATATATATATATATATATATATATATATATATATATATGTAACGAGCGAACAGTTACCCTGCTCGCAACGCCAAATGTGACCTTCCCCGAGTCTATCCTGCCCGACAACGCCAATTGTAACGAGTTGAACCACTCATGCTACACAACATCGACTACAGTAGAAAGACTCGAAGATGCAGGTTCGCTATTGATCCTTTTATTACATGAATCAAGAAATGCTTCAATATAACACAATGAATCAACAGGAATGTTTCACAATAATAGTCTGAATCAACTGACCCCTAACAGTCCTCACTAGGCTTCATATAACTGAATCCACATGTCTATTGTCCTTCTTAACACAATATAACCAACTTGATATGTCACACAGACTGACTGATCTAAAGCGAGCGATGAAGAGGGAAGAGAACGAGTTCAGTCGTCCCCTCCTATTTATCAATTGTATTCGTACTCGTCCTCGTACTTGTACTCCTCCGTAATCGATACTTGTACTCGATGTCTCCGACTACTAGTTGCGCAGTTCCAACGTACAGTCCGTTTAATCACATCTGCATCCTATCAATCAAAGTTGACAGGCCGTCTGAATCCCCTCGTACCGTTTCCCAAAATAGCACGCGTTGGCTTTGAGATTGTTATCAGTCCGATCCAATAAGCCACCTGCTATGTTGCGTCAGACTGTAATACTGCGTCTCGGCTTATCGTTCGTTATCAGTTGTAACAGATTTGTAACTAGTAGCTAGGCCTACCCTAGTTACATCCACCCCTGCTTTTTTTGTGTGTTTTCCACCACAAACAACGCCTGGCAGGTGCACTCCTTCAAAGTCAATCGCACAATCGTAAAAAAAAATTTTATTGTTCCACTCACTGTCCACGACGTCCCATTCGTATACGATTGACAGTTATACCTATTTCACATATCAACTGTGTCTACATCGTCTTCCTGAGACACAAAACAGTTCTAGAATTCACATCCACCCTTTTCGTTTGGTGCCTTCACCAGTTTACTTTTATAGGTTTTTGAACCGTCTGTTCTCATACCAGCGCGACCATGAAAGACTTGATGGTTGCTGACAAAAAATTTCGTCTTCCTTCTGTTCCTCAAACTTCTCCGCGGACCACTTATCTGATGGTCTACTGTCTCTCTGCTTCTGGAAGGAACGGGATCCTCTTTGTTGCCGTTATCCTCCACTTGTGTATCGCGGTTGTTCTGTTGATGGTGATATGGTTCCGGGATGGGTATGTGAATTTCCGTTGTAACTTCCGGTTCCCTAATTGTCTTGGATTTCCTTGTGTGTAACTGCTCTTCTTGCCTATTCCAATATTTCTTTAATTGAGCAATATTCGCCCACCGATCCGGTTTGGCGTGATCGATGGGTCTTATCTTAAAGGGGCCACCTGCTACTTTAGGCATCTCCACGACTTGCCATATCTCCTGTCCCCAGAGATCGTGGATTTTGTTTCTGCCTAACGGGTGGCTACGCAGTAATACCCTGTCATTCAGTTTGAGTGGCGGGTCCTTTGTCTGTACCGGCGGTTCCCTTCGCCGTGCTTCATGTTCTAGTCTTTCCTGTACTACCCCCTGTACATTTCTCTAATTCTTCTCATATGTTCATTCACATATTCCAGTGGCGGTGTATGAGCCAGTCATACTCTCCTTTTTCTAGGAACAAATCAGAGGGAGTCGAGCCTCCCGTCCGAACAGCAACATGTGTGGCGCAAAGCCGGTTGTGGCATGGGGTGTGCAGTTGTATAGATATACCAACTCTGGGAGGAAAATCAGGCCAACGTTTTTTCTGTTCAGGTTCTAGCGTACGCAGCAAATCATGCATGCTGCGGTTGAACCGTTCACACTGTCCGTTTCCTTTCGGATTACATGTGGTTGTTCTAGATTTGTTGATCCCGTAGTGGCTGCACAGTTGGTTAATTACTTCTGACTCGAAAGCCCTTCCTTGGTCAGAGTGTAATTGTCTTGGTATGCCATATTTGATGAACCAATGTTCTATTAAGACCTTTGCCACTGTTTTGGCAGTCCTGATCTCGCGTGGGCACCGCCACCGTCCATTGGTGAATACATCAGTCATTACCAACACATGTTCCGTCCCATCCGATGATTGCTCCAACGACGTAAAGTCCCATAGCCACAATCTCTAGTGGTTTTGTCCGCTAGTAGGTGTCCTGATGGCTGTCTCATTTTGACAACTGGCATTTTCGCATGCTGACACCTCACACAAGCCTCACAATGGCGTTTGACCTCCATTTCCATATTGGGCCAGTAACACCTCCGTCGTAAAATTTTGTGCGTCCTGTCCTGACCCTGGTGTCCTGCCCTGTCATGTGCCAACCTTAGCACTTCTTCTCGTAACTGTCCAGGCACCACCACCTGGTGTATTGTCCCATCAATTTGGTCATGGATTCTCCGCATGAGAACACCATCCTCTATACTGAGACGGTCCCACTGACTCAGTATTTTCTTTGTTTCTCGACCAAATTGTTCTCTTTCCCTTCTTCCTGGGAATTTTTGTTCCTGGACGTATTTCAATAGCGGTTTGTAAGCCACTATCCGTTCTCTGGGCATCTCTTATCTTTTTGTGATTAAGCAATTAAAATCACTACTGTCCATATGTCCGGGCTCTGTGGATATGTGCTCCACCCCGACTGTCCGTTCTGCATACACCTGCACCCATGAGGGATATCTGTTGACGCTCTGACCTCACA